GGGCGCTAAGGCGCGGAAATGGCGCGGAGGGCGCGGTGGCTAAGGCGCGGAGGGCGCGGAGGGCGCGGAGGGCGCGGAGGGCGCGGAGGGCGCGGAGGGTGCTAGGGCGCAAGGGCGCGGAGGGCGCGGAGGGCGCGGAGTGTGCTAGGGCGCAAAGGCGCGGAGGGCGCTAGGGCGCGAGCTAGGCTAGGCTATGCGAGAGGATCGACACCTACTCATGATACCATCTCAAAGTTAGCGAACAACGGAATGATTGGAATAGAAACGAATGGGGTACAAATGAGCAACCCTAGAAGCTGTACCCCCTAGAGTGCAACTCATTATAGCCTATCATATCAATGTTCAACATTTGACACACACCTGTTACTGTACTATAATCCCTAAGTGGAGGGGGCCCGTGTGTAATACAGAGCCAAGGCGTGGTTGGCAGCATGCCCACCAAAGCCTGAGCCTGAAGTCAACCATGCAGCAACTGGCTGATGCTCTTCAGGTTGACGTCACACATTGTCCTTCCAGCAATGTTGCATTTCACACCATGAAAGATCAGCTGGCAGCTGGCAGGCTTCAATGCAGTATGCCATGGAAGACGCTGCAATATTACCGGTAGCTGCCTCGGCGAAGGCTGAAATTGGCACTACTGAAAACTCCAACAATGTCAAAGCTGAGATGATTGGGATCCAATATACCGGCCAAACTTTGGAGCAATTATCCGCAACCAGCAGATGTGGCGGGGAGGAACGGAGGAGCAGGAGCCATGACGCTGGTGTTCTCCTCAGGCAGGGAATCGAAATTCCAGAGAAAGGATGCATACGCAGCCAGGACATAACTGCAAGGACAGAAACGAGGCGGGATATGAGCAACGGGGGGAGAGTGAGTGCAAGAAAAGGGCATTAAGGAAGTAAAACTCCCAAGATATTGCAAATCACAACTCCCAGTACCATCAGCCAGTGTACAATGTTGCAAACGAACGATACGGAGGGTGCTTACCAGTCCTGGGGTGCAGCGCTGACTGCTCGCTCGAAGAAAATGGAGGCCTTATTTGCATCGCCCATGCCTTCCCACAGGAGCTTCGCGTACTGAACCAGAAGTTCCCCGTCATAAGGAGCTTCGGTTATAGCGCGCTCGAAGAGTTTCTCAGCTTCTTCGTGTTCTCCCTTGACCTGAAAAGAGAAGATCCCGATGAAATTTCAGTGTCAGAAACACAGACAGACAACATACACAGAAAGAATTGACAAAATCGACGAACAGTCGAAATAACAAATTGAAACAAGATATTCACCTCGTAAAGAAATCGCGCGAAGTTACGAAGGAGGAGCGGATCTTTCGGATCCTTGGCCAGAGCGGTGACATAATGAGCTTCCATGGCCGCGACGTCTGCAGAAGACGTGCCTGACGCAGAACTAACTCCGTTTTTCGACTCCCTCCCAAGATTCGGCGTCCCTTGGCAAACAACAGGAAAAGTTTCACCGGCTACGCTGAATGAAGCAGACGAATCAACCTGCTCGCTCCGAGCAACATCGGAGAGGCCGAGATCAAGCAACGGTCGAGATCCTTGCTCTTCCGGTAGATGCTGGTAGATCTCTGGGTGAGATCCTGCGAAAAGTCCTCGCATCTGCATCTCGTCAGCGCCGTTGGTGAAGAATTCCAGGCTGGCGTAGTCGTTCTGATTTCTTCTGTTGCAAGGCATCCCGGCTAAAGGCTCCAAGGGAAACAGCGACGGCGTCTTGAAAGGAGGTGATGAAGAGGATGTTGCTTTGCGTGGAGATCTAAGTAGAGGGGTTGATGGAGGCGAGGAAGGATGCTTGAAGAACGAAGGGTCGGATAGTGGGAACGGCATAGGTGGATGGTCAGACGGATATGAATTAGGGTTGCAAGCTTCTTGCGAAGAGAAAGGCCAACTTCTTCCTTTCCTGCTGCTGCCCTTCTGACGGTCCGCAGAGTCTGTTGGGGTTGCACTTTGCTGCGAGTGGTTATCCGGGGTCCGGAGCTCAGGAACTGATACGATACGTCGAAACTCGCAGTCTGCCTTCTGAGACGAGTCCATCTCAGAAACGATAAACAAGCTCCGTGAAGACTGAGCTGCTGATGTGGCCGAGAATTCGGAAAACCAGGGGGTAGAGGATGTTAGAGGCGACGAAGCGTTGCTACGCTTCCAGGTTAAACGGGAGGCTTGATGACTGGCCAGGCCTCCGCGAGGGGAAACCATGGAGCATTGGAACGATGGGCTTGCTGCGTCACGGAGTTTATCCGCTTCTCTTCCATTCGTAGATCCCGCGGGAACTGGAGTCAGATGCGGAGCTGAAATGCTTCTTGCGAGCATAGCATCGGCCATGGCTGACGGACTGAACGGCGACAAATAAAAAGGCTGCTGAGACAGGAACGTTTTTGCGGGATACTGAACTAGGGTGCAGCAGCCTTCACTGAATCTTAACCATCGACCCCGTAAGACTAAATACTCCGGGGCTGACTACCAACAACAACAATACCCCAAGAAAGGACGGTTGTAAGGCAGTATCCTCCAAAACCCTTCTCCAGAATACGAGCAGACGCCAACAAATAAGATAACCGAGTAAAATGAACTGGGACAGGACAAGCAGTTATTCAGCACAGTAGTCGTCAGCAGAAAGGCGTCTCGTGAACCGTATTGGCTGGATGACCTCACGTCTTGCCACTGCCTTTATTCCTCCAAGACCCAACTCAGCTCTACTGCTTGGGAGAAACCGACCAACTTCAGGAATTTGGCTGCTCCACTGACGAAGTTCAAGCGAGGTTACCAGAGCTGCTGAAAACGAAGAGGTCTGGTCTGGTGTTGTGAAGCAAAACACTGTTTGGATTCCCCTCTTCCCCTGTTATAGGTTGCTCTCGCTGCTCGCTATACCTCTCCTCTCTTTCTCTCTCTCCCCCTGCCTCTGTCTCCCTGATAATTTCCTCACTGTTGGAAGATGTTTTCTAGGTTGGGTGGAACATTCTGCTCGTTCCTGCTTCCGAGGCTGACTTGGTTGGGGTTTTGGGGAAAATCTGCTCCGCGCAAACAGTGTTTTTTCCGCCATCCTTGGGATCTTGGTGGGCTGTTTGCGGGAGCATTCCGCTGCGAGCGAGCTCCGCCCTGAACCAGATCGCGGAGCTTCTCCGCAAAAGCTAGGCTGCGCAAGTGTACCTGAACCTCCAACCTGGAAGAAGATATTCGTGCGTGGCATTGCTGCCCAGACAAAGTCAAAGAAAAGGGAAAGGGGAAGAAAAGGACACTGGTGGCTAAATTGAGTCACAATCTTCTTCTGACCTCGATTGATCTCTTTTCGGCTGGGCAGAGCAAGCACCAAAACGAGTTGCTGCGGCCGTCCATTCGGAGTTCCGAAAGGCGAGTGCTTCATGCGTGCAGGCGTGGCAACTCCGAATTAGTGGGGAGGCGCAGCCTTCCGAACGCCAGAAAGTTGGAGCCCTTACACCTAGTCCGCGGTATTTTAACCACCCGAACTTTTTTGTTTCAAACATCCTGAGTGCATTTTAGTTCAATGGAATGGGCACCTAGAGACTTCAGGGCTATTAGAATACAGCCAGGAAGTTTTCCGTTTGACAAAACCCACACTTAGTGCTCCGAGATAGGGGGCGCATTGGCATTAACAGAGTTGCAACTTTCGTGATCTCGCTAAGGGTACGCTTAACTATACCCTTCTAAATGTTTTAACCTACCCTTGTATTCAATATTGACCATGGAGTAGTACCCCCGCGTGGATAAGATAGCGGCGGTTAAAATACCGCGGACTAGGTGTATCGTGATTCGCTCGTGTTTTACGGCCATGCCCAAACCCCCCACATCCCAAATCCTCCCCCCACCAGCCCCCACCCCCCCCCCCCCCAAGGGCCTCCCCGCTTTCCGCAGTGCATATCCAACCAACATGCCACTCGCCTCACGACGAAAACTGCTGTTAGAATCTACTCTACACGTGAGCACAGACATCGACGCCTGTTGATAGGGGTTGAGATTCATCGCTACAGAAAACACGGCGAAACCTCCGAGGACCCTGGGGCTCTCGAAAGCGTAACAGCATCCAGCAGAATTCCATGTGATGGGTAAACGAAACGAAGCGATGACGATGTTGAGGCATCCATCCATGTATGTACGAAGGGAGAAATAACATCGGAAGGGGACTGAAGAACACAATAACCAATGTACAGTACACTATATGTAAGAAAAACTGGGGCCAGAGCCACCTTGAATTTGAAAATGTTTCACAGGAGCTTTCCCAGCACCGCAATTGAGCTGAAATAATGATTGCGGCACATGGGCCAACTTATACATGCACCTGGGTGCATACAAGCAGATGATTTTCATCCCTCGCATTGTCTCCATGTTTCATGGAGTCGACTGCCCAATAGAAGGCGTGACGGGAAGCTATGCTAGCATACCTTTCCAGGCCAATGATGATTATTCCCGCGCGAAAAGATCCTTCTACTTACAGTAACAGTCGACACATTGTCGGAATTCGTAAAATATATAATAGAATCAAACAAACAGAGTTACCAAGTAAACTGGAAACAGTGCAAGACAACCAGGTACTCTATTAGAAAAATGGTGGGAAGAGAATGATGGCCTAAAATCCGACCCATATGTTTGTCATGTGACTCCAGGGCTCAACCCTAAACCCGTGACACTTGGATCCCAAGGAATACATCATCTTTGTCAATGGTTGAAAGTCAACCAAGCCAAAAAATCCCACAAAAACACATGCTGTCCACGGATAAATAATGCAACTATAAAAACAGAAGCAGCGCTCACAGACTAAAACATGCATGCTTCCAAACTAGAGAATGGCAGCAGCCAACTAGGTCAGCAAAGCCATTGTGCTCCTAGGCAGGCCTGTGCTTTGACTTTTCTATAGGTTTTCATCCAGCAGGCAGCTCATCTTTCAATCAGCTGCACTCAAATGTGAACTCCGTCTTGATCCGTTGACACCTGGCAGGCCTGTGCTTTGGACTTTTCTCCTACAGCTTTTGTCTTGTTAAGCAGCAGGCAGCTCATCCTCCAAGTAGCTGTACTCAAATGTGAACTCCGTCTTGATCCGTTGACACCTGCCAAACGTCCCACAGGGATTGCAATTCACGTTAGAAAAGATGCCAAAATTGAACGGGACCAGAGTCTACTTACCAGGGGGGAGAGATCAAGACAGGAGAAGGGGAAGTGGGGGAGGAACTCAATCACCCCAATACCAGCCCCAATAAAAGCATTTTCATCCTCTCACCATCCAGTCTGGTAGTCATCGTGCACGATGTGGAAGTCAAAGTACACGTAGGTGCCCTGCTCACAGTGCTGTCTCCCTCTCTCTCTACTACATTCTCCCAACACACACACATCAAACAATTGAGTGCTCTCACCATCCGGTCTGGTAGTCATCGTGCACGATGTGGAAGTCAAAGTACACGTAGGTGCCCTGCTCACAGCCCCACCAGGCCACTCAACACCACTTTCCTACCAACCCCATGCTCACACACTGCCTTCACATCGCATCCATCTCACCATCCAGTCTGGTAGTCGTCATGCACGATGTGGAAGTCAAAGTACACGTAGGTGCCCTGCTCATAGTGCTCTCTCGCTCTCTCATTCTCCCCACACTCGCATCACCCCATCCGGTGCTCTCACCATCCGGTCTGGTAGTCGTCATGCACGATGTGGAAGTCAAAGTACACAGAGGTGCCCTGCTCGCAGCCCCACCAGGCCACTCAACACCACTTTCGTACCAACCCCATGCTCACACACTGCCTTCACATCACATCCATCTCACCATCCGGTCTGGTAGTCGTCATGCACGATGTGGAAGTCAAAGTAAACGTAGGTGCCCTGCTCGTAGTCATCGGTGGTGAGCTTGGGCTCCTCGTGGCGCTGGAACCACGTGTTGTACTTCTTGTGGTACCGCCACGACTGCTTCTTTAGCTCACGAGCGGCTAAGTATTGTTGGTATGTGCCCTGAGGGGAATGGACGGGCAGGGAGGGGGACGGAGGGGCAGGGAGGGAGGGAACCACGTGTTGTGCTTCTTGTGGTAGCGTCGCGACTGCTTCTTCAACTCGCGAGCAGCCAGGTACTGCTGGTGCGTGCCCTGGTGGGCGGAGACGGGTCACGGGGACACACGGAAGGGCATGGAGGGCGATGGAAGGGGATGGAGGAGCAGGAACGGGAGAAGGTAACCTGCACAGCAGCAGCAGAGTCACTTGCTAAACAGCCGTACCGGTTGCTGGTGGCAATTACAGCAGTGCAAATCACGATAAGGAGTCTAATCCTGGCGATAGTAACCCTCTTGTAACTCGTGCATACCTGCTGATGGTGGAAGGCAAAGAAGAGAACGTCCATGTCGAGCCGCTCCCACAGCCCTGGGCATTGTCGACATTTGCGCGAACGACAACCCAGCCCAGCCCAACCCAGCCAAACCCAGCCCAACCACCTGTTGCATGGAAAACTGATACTGGTACTGGTAACCACACTGTAACTCGTTCATACCTGCTGGTGGTAGAAGGCGAAGAAGAGAACATCCATGTCGAGCCGCTCCCACAGCCCTGGGTGCTCCAACACTGCTGCTGGCGCCTGGGGGTAGCTGGCAGGCGTGATGGCAGGGTTCCGCTGAAGGGGAGAGAAAGGGTGTGGGGCGGTGTTTAATGGAGAAAATGTAAGAGGCGATAGCAACTCTAGCATTGCTGCTGGCGCCTGGGGGTAGCTGGCAGGCGTGATGGCAGGGTTCCGCTGAAGGGGAGAGAGGGGCAGAGGGAGAGGAGAAGGAGGTGGAGAGGGAAGGGAGCATGTGACGAGTCAATAGCAGCTCAAGCGATGCAATCAAAGAGGCGTGCAATACAAGCACACCCTCTCACCGGAATGTAGGCCCTGGGTCGTTCCGAGTCCTTGGGCTGTGGCAAGTTCCCAAAGGAAGAATCCAGCAGAGCCAGATTCAGTGCATGATCCACCGGTGCCCCTGCTGCTGCTGCTCCTCCTCCTCCTCCTTGCCCCACCCCTCCCGCTCCCACTGCCCCCACTGCTCCCACTGCTCCCGCTCCTGCTGCTGCTCCTCCTGCTCCAGTTGCGTTGCCAGAAGCAGCAGCAGCGGCTAGAGACATGGGGTCGCTGATCGGCCCTGCGTCGCCCATCCCCGCACCCCCTTGCTTTCTTCCGATGACCCCGGGTGCTGAGAGCGATGCACCAGCAAAAGCACCTGCCCCGGCGGCTGTAGCAGCAGCTGTGGCGGAAGAGAGGGCATTTGCAGGGAGAGAAGCGGTGGTGGTTGGTGGGGCAGAGGAGGATGGTTGGGGGAAGGAGGATTGGGCGGCAGAGGGCAGCATAGAGGGGCCTACTGCCCCTGCTCCTGCCATGTGCCCCATTTGCTGCTGCTGCTGCTGCTGTTGCTGAGCGAGTAGAGGGGGAGGGGAAGGCAAAAGCCGCTGCTGCTGCTGTTGCTGTTGGTGTTGTTGTTGCTGCAAGCGCTGATGCTCCTGTTGCTGGAGTAGCAGAAGCAGCTGCTGCTGTTGCTGGGGATCCATGCTGCCTTCCCCAGATACGCCTGCTGCCTGCTGTTGCTGTAACTGCTGCTGCAACTGCTGCTGCTGCTGCTGCTGTTGCTGTTGCTGCTGCTGCTGCTGCTGCTGTTGCTTCTCCTGCTCCAGTTGCTGCTGCTGCTGCTGCTGTGCCTCTCCAATCTTTGCCTCTTGCTGCTGCTGCTGCTGTTGTTGCTGCTGCTGCTGCTGCTGCTGCTGTTGTTGCTGCTGCTGTAGTTGCTGCTGCTGTTGTTGCTGCTGCTGTAGTTGCTGCTGCTGTTGCTGCTGTGACTGAGGCCCATTCATCCCCAAGCCCACCTGCCTCAGTTGTACCTGCCCCTGCGTCTGATCCTCACTCTTTTCCTGCCCTCCACCCTGCCTTGCCTGTCCTTCTGCCCCCACCCCTGCAGCTCCTCCTGCTGATGATTGAGATGCCAGTACTTGCTGCTGCTGCTGCTGCTGTTGCATTTGTTGTTGCTGTTGCTGCTGCTGCTGCTGCGGGGGAAGAGGCGACTGGGACAGCTGGACGTTGGCGAGGGTATGGGCACGGTAGGGCGGAAAAGGCATGTATTGGCACAGGGACGAAAGGTTAAAAGCAACGGCACAGGCATTGCACCCTACTGCATACTGCACTGCTCTGAATCGCAAAGCACCGCATTGCACAGAAGTAAGCCACATGTCACCGTGCAGTGTTCCATTCCCGTGTCACACAGCATCACATCTTGCAGCCACATGGGGCCTCCACATCAGAGAATACTGTGGTGCTGTGCAATGCCATGGATGAATAATCCGGTGGGATGCGGTGCAATGCGGTGCTTCGCAGCACACCGTACCATACAGAATCCTATGTCAGACAAGAAACTCTATGCACACAACATCACGGCCAGGGCACATAGCAAGCAACAAACATGCGAGGGAGCAGAACCAGAAAATTCTTAAGCATAAATAGAAAGCACAGCACCATGCCAGGGGGCAGAACCGACTCATTTCCAGCCATGCATCAAAAGCATACCACATAGCATACCAGCTCAACATGCACAACATCAAATCAGGGCAAGATCGTACCACGGGATGTTGCTGCAAGGCCAGCAACGGAGACGACAAGTTCCCAGCCGACGTCGAACCAGCAAGGGATGCTCCCGAACCTGCTGCCGAGCCTGCGCCAGCAGCGGCGGCGGCAGCAGCAGCAGCCATGACAGCAGCGGTGACCCCCTGCTGCTGCACCTGTTGAAACCGGGTGATGTACCTCTGCTTCTGGTCCGGCGCAATTTCAGTGCGTTGAAACTGGAAATAAGGGAGAATGGGGAACGGGGAATGGAGAAGCGGGAGAGGAAGGTTACTGGGAAGGTGCAGGGGTGGGAAGCAGTGACCCCCTGTTGCTGCACCTGCTGAAACCGGGTGATGTACCTCTGCTTCTGGTCCGGAGCTGTCTCCGTGCGCTGGAACTGCGGGATGGGAAATGGGGAGGGAAACGAGGAGGAGGATTAGTGGGAAGGTGCCGGGGTGGGAAGCAGCTAGAACTGGCGCCAGCCGCCAATGGGAGGGTAAAAAAAAAAAGAGCAAAGAAGAAGAGACATAGAGAAGAGGAGCAAAGACGAGGGCTGCTGGGAAGGTGCGGAGCTAAGAAGCAAATGAAACTGGCGCCAGTGGGGAATGGGGAAGGAAGGAAGGGCAAGGAGGCACAAGGGCGAGAGGGAAGGCTTTAAATACAAGTCGTCAGACCCACAAAGTGTACTCCTATCTCAATCAACGCTCATTATTCCAAGCCAGGAAGCCAAGCAATGGTTCCAATCGACTCACCCCAGGAGGGAAACGGACCCCAGCAGGTAGAGGAGACAGACCCCCGGAACCATCAGCAGCAGCCACGCCTCCCTGCAGCTGCTGGAAAGCTTTTGAGACGCCTAAAAAACCATTCATGCCATTTAGAGGCATCAATCCACTTACCCCAGGAGGGAAGCGGACCCCAGCAGGGAGAGCAGACAGACCCCCGGAACCATCAGCAGCAGCCACGCCTCCCTGCAGCTGCTGGAAAGCAGCACGTGACTAATCTCGTCAACTCTATTCCTCCAACCAGTGCTCATTATTCCGAGCAACCAATCCCAATCCACTTACCCCGGGAGGGAAGCGGACCCCAGCAGGGAGAGCAGACAGCTCGCCAGTGCCATCAGCAGCAGCCACGCCTCCCTGCAGCTGCTGAAAAGCTTTTGAGACGCCTAAAACACCATTCATGCCATTTAAAGGTATCAATCCACTTACCCCGGGAGGGAAGCGGACCCCAGCAGGAAGAGCAGACAGCCCGCCAGAGCCATCAGCAGCAGCCACGCCTCCCTGCAGCTGCTGGAAAGCAGCTGAGCTTGGCAGCCCTGGTCTCCACTGTGCCCCCACCGCGTTGAACATCCTCTGCTGAGCACTCAGCACATTCGCTGCTGCTGCTCCCAGCCCTGCTCCCACCCCTCCCTGCCCCACCCCTCCCACGCCGCCTACGCCTGGCATCATCATTCCTGTGCCTGCCGAACCTGGCGGTGCCAAGCCTCCCACCGAGCCGACTCCCAGGCCTGCCGCCGAGCCTGCTGCTCCGGGAAGGCCGGACGAAAGGATGGACGAGCCTGGTGTAGCCGTTGCTGCGGTGGCGGCATCAGCAGCACCTGACGAGGCACCTGGTGCCCCACCTGCTGCGGCTGCAAACGGACGAACGAGGCCGCCCGGAGCAAGGCCAGTGGACATCACTGCACTGGATTGTGTGGGACCAGAAGCAAGGGTAGAGGGAGGGACGGGAGAAGAGCCCATGGAGAGCAAGGGAGGTCTTGTGGCCAGTCCATTAGTGCCATTAACACCAACCACAGCAGCTCCATTGATGCTCCCAGGGACAGACTGACCAGTGGCCAGCCCAACTCCAGGCAGCAGGCCTGCTGCGGCTGCTTCACCTGCTTGCTGCTGCACCCCGCCAGCTGCAGCGTGGGAGTAGCTAGGCACGGCCGAACCTGCAGGTCCGGCAGCAGCAGGTGCGGCAGCCCCAGAAACGGCAAACGGCGGAGGAGGAGAATTGATGGACCTAGGCCCTGGGCCCGCAATGACAGCTCCAGCAGCAGCAGCAGCAGCAGCAGCAGCAGCAGCAACAGCAGAGGCGGCAGCACCAGCAGTACCAGCGCCGGGAGTGCCAGAACCACCAACAATCGACGCCAAACTCGCCCCTTTCTTCCCTGACTTTGCAGCTGCTGAAGCCGAAGCTGCACTGGCTGCCGGACCTCCTGCCGAGCCTGAAGCCATGGCTCCTGCCGTCCCATTGGAAGAGCCAAGATCTCCAGACCTGGTATGCCGCCCTGCCACCCCTCCTGCGACTTCCCCTATTCCCGGACCCACTCTCTTACCCCCCACACTTGCCATACCATGCCCTGACCCTCCTACCCCTTCCTCTCCCCCCACACCTCCTTCCTTCGCCCCTACTCGCCCACCACTGGTAACCGTAACCGTGCTTGCAGCAGCAGGCGCTGCTGCTACTACTCCTGCTCCCGCTACAGGTGTTACTACTGCTGCAGCTGCAGCAGCAGGTGTCACGGCTCTGGCTGTAGCGGCAGCAGCAGCAGCAGCACGGCCAGCTGTAGCGCGGGAGGAGGCAGCAGAGGAGGTGGTGATGGTGGCGGGGAGAGGGGCGGCTGTAGCGGCGGCGGCGGCGGCAGCAGCAGCGGCGCGGGAGGAGCTATGAGTGGAGGAGGAGTCATCTGTAGCGACAGAGTCAGATGTGTCTGACGAGACGGAGGGGGGTGAGGGATGCGCGAGTGTTCCTGATGGTCCCGATTTCTGTGGATTGTTGGGGAGAGGAAAATGCATGCAGGGGAGGGGGATGGGGAAGAAAAGAAAGGGGAAGCGGCAGGGGTAAGGGCGGGCACGGGGGTGGAGATTGGGAAATGAGCAAAATAAAATATGGGAAGGAGGTCTGGGAGTTATGATTGGACGAATTATCTGTAACGGCAGAGTCAGATCGGACCAGTATGTAGCGGCAGAGTCAGATCGGAGTAAGTAGCGGCAGAGTCAGATGGGAAGAGACATATGGGGGTGAGGGATGCGCGAGTGCTCTTGCTGCTCCGGAAATCCGTGGATTGTCGGGGAGAGAGACAAGCAGGCAGGGAAGGAGGAGAAAGGGAGAAAGGAACGGGAAGGCGGATGGGGCAGGGGAGTGGGGGGGAGACGGGAGGCAGTTTTGAGAGACAGGGAGAAATAGGCTTCGGGAAAAAGTGCAATGCATTGTAGGAAGGTGCAGAAAGGTGCGGTAAGATTCATCAAGCAAGTACCGGCAGGGAGGAGGCGGTGAGGATGGACTTGGGGAGTGCAAGCCCCGAGGCAGCAGCGACAGCAGCCTTCTCCTTGACCACAATGGCCTGCGGCACGATGGGCACCGACTCCAGCGACTCGAGTGTGTCCATCTTCTCCAGCGGCAGCGACTCGTACAGATCGTCCGGCTCACAGAACTCCTCAAAGTCGTCCTGCTCGTCGTGAGAGGACAGGGGGGAGGAGGAGGAGGACAGGAGGGAAGTGGGGAACGGGGAGTGCGGGGAGGGGGGGTTGGAGGGGGAGTGGAGGGGGAGAGGGTGGAGAGGGGAGGTTGCCTTGGATATGTGAGAAGGGGAAGGGGGCACGACGGGCACGGACTCGAGTGACTGGAGGGGGAGCGACTATGGAGAGGAGGGACGTGCCCAAGTCCATCTTCTCTAGAGGCAGCGACTCATACAGATCGTCCGGCTCACAGAACTCCTCAACGTCGTCCTGCTCGCCATGGGAGGAGGGACGCAGGGCGAATGGGGAGGGATGGGAAGGAGGGGTGGGGAGGTTGGGACGGGGGGTGGAAGGTGGATGAGAAGATTCCTTTTTTTTTTTTAGCGCCAAAAAAAGGAGGGAACCAGGTGTAGGGCACGACAGGTATGATTCAAAACGAGCCCATCCCTCCTAGCCCCCCACCCCCTTCCTCATCCGATTCCCCACCAGCTCTTTCACCAACTCCTCACCTGGTTCATCTCAACGTAGTCCTCGACGAGGTCTTTCACGTCTGTGACCTGCTCGGGGCTCAAATCATTATTGCCCATCAACCGCAGAATCATCTCTCTCCCTTACCCTAAGCCACCGACACCAATCCCCCCCCTCCTCCCTCTATTTCCCTCCGTCTCCCTCCTCCCTCCACCATACACACCTGGTTCCTCTCGACATAATCTTCCACGAGGTCTTTCACGTCCGTGACCTGCTCGGGGCTCAGCTCATCGTTGTCCATCAGCCGCAGAATCATCTCCAGGCGTGTGATGTGCGCCTTGTGCCGCGTGATCGACTCCTCCAGATGCATCTGCGATGGTGGGAAGGGGTGGGTAGGGGTGGATAGGGATGGGTAGGGGTGGGTGGGTGGGTGGGAGGAGTGGAGAAGTGTTGGGTTGGGTTGATGCACTCAGAGGGAGCGAAGTAATCGCCAGGCGAGTGATGTGCGCCTTGTGCCGCGCAGAAAGCAGACAGGAGGAGGGGGGAGCGGATGGAAGGGGGGGAGAGGGCGAGGGAGAGGAGCGCTGGGTAAGTGCAATCAGGCAATGGTACGTTGAGTACTCAAAGGAGTGGTACCTACCAGTCCCAGAGGTCATTGCTTACCAGGCGTGGCGGGCGCTGCTTGCCCCTCTTGACCTGCAGCCCCTCCATCTCGCTCTCAAACCCGTCAATCTGTGACTCCAGCTCGCTCACCTGCCGGCGGACCAAGGGCCACCGGGAGGGTGGGAGTGGAAGGAAGGGAGGGAAGGGGGGTGAAGGGTGACACAGGCGATTTGAGACGAGAGAAGGGTGTGAGAAGACGTAGAAAAGGTGGTGTGACAGCAGAAGAAGGGACACCAATCTGTTAAATGATGTTGAAACAGAACAGTCCAGAATAAGTGTGCAGGAAGGAATGACATAATGGTCGAACGGAGCAGCTGAGCATAACAGTCGTATGGAAGAGCAACGCACGGCAGAGGACAAAGCACGCCAGCCTTACCATCTGATTCAACCAATCACGAGACTCCGACTTGGCCTTTTCTCTCGGGTCCTGCAGGATAACCACAAGACAGAATCAGAGCACAACCGGCAGTTAACAGCACGCCCACCAAGAAAAAGAACAGGGGTGCACAACTGCACAGCACAGCAAGCAGAGAAAGAGGTGTTTCAGTGTACCGTCTTTGGCTGTTGGCCGAGCCCCTCTTTACTGAAGGCTTTCGTTTTGGTCTCTTTCTCGCACACTTTGAACCGCTCCATCTCCCGCTCTATCAGCTTCCTCGCATCCAGCAGAGCCTGCCAGCCAGGGGAAGTCGGGGGATGGGGCAGGAGAAGGGAGGGGGGGAGGGGGGGGAGGGGGGGGAGGGGGGGAGGGGGGGAGGGGGGGAGGGGGGGGAGGGGGGGAGGGGGGGGGGAAGAGTGCGGGGAGGAGGGGGGTGGGAGGACATTGAAACACTAATTTGTTTCTCGCACGCTTTGAACCGCTCCATCTCCCGCTCTATCAGCTTCCTCGCATCCAGAAACGCCTGCCAGCCAGAGGAAGCCGGGGGAGGGGGGAGGAGAGCGGGGAAGGAGGAGGGGGAAGGACATTGAACACTGGTTTCCTTCTCGCAAACTGTGAACCGCTCCATGTCCCGCTCTATCAGCTTCCGCGCATCCAGCAGAGCCTGTCAGCCAGGGAGGTCGGGAAGGGGGGAAGGGGAACACAACAAGTAAAAGAAAACAGAAGAATTTTCGTTATCAAAAGGACAACGTACTCCTTATCCGAGTTTCATTTTATGAAGACGCGTTGAGCTAGTAAGGGAAGATGGATGATGACAGATGAGAATGCAGGCAACGTCTATGGACGCAGGCGGGAGAGCAGAGCAGAAGACACGTGCACATCAACAGAGCAGCAGTGGAGCGCTAGAAATCACCTTATATGTCTTTGATTTCGCTGCACTGGATCCATGTCTTAATCTGGTCCCCTTCTGAAGCGCCTCAAAAGGAAGGCTAGGTAGGACTCACCTTCTTGTCTTTGATTTCGCTGGACTGGATCCATGTCTTGATCTGGTCACGGTACCGCTGGAGCTTCTTGATCTCTTTCTTCAAGTCCGCCTCGAACTTCTCCTTCTGGTTCAGGTTCTCCGTGTCGTACACCTGAGACGACATTACATGAAAAGGCAAGACAAGACATGATATGATACGGACTCGGTGACTTTTGAGTCAATTCGAAACTCTTCTCCTTCTGATTCGGGTTCTCCGTGTCGTACACCTGAGACAAGACATGACATGATATGGAGGAGAGGCGAAAGGGGAGCGACGGTGAGTCTTGAAACGTCTTGGAAAGAGCAGGGAATCTCCGCGCACTTTTCCGAGCCAACGCCAGCACTAAGCGAGAAATTCCGGCGATGGAGGAAGAGACACAGAGCTACCGGCATTTGCCATTTCAGGCATTTCCTTCAGGCAGGATTTTCCTTCACATATTTCCTTCGAGCACGGTAACGTCAAAAGGACGACCAGAGTCATGCAGAATGATTCACGTGCTGATTATACTTGACTCTCAGCGTCGATGTTGTTCGACTACCGCATAACCTGCGATAGAATCTCGGTCGACAACAACGAAACCCTAAAAGAGACAAATGGTTCTGGGACCGCCAGCCAAGTGGCTCCGGTGAGACCACTGACCGTGGGAAAAAACGACAGGCGAATGACTATTTCGTATGATGACAACAGCGGTGACGATGTGCGAAGATTCGAGGGTGCGATGTGCTCGTCATGTGTACCTTATTCCATATTCCGTCGAAAATCTCTACCCCTTCTTGGACCTTCTTAAGCACCCGGTCGATCTCTCCTTGAAGCTTCCTTGTCGCTCCCATGATGAGAAACAAACTCCGTCAGTGGACCACGTAAGGAGGTTCCGTCAACGACCTCTGTTACAAAACTCAGTCGAAAGTAAATCTCGTCAATCGACGGAATCTACAAACGCGGTTAGTAGGCTCGGGTGGACCCTGTTCAAGTAAGGTAATAAAAGCACGCCTTTTTCCAGGGAAAAGCCTAGGTTCTTCCCGTGCGTGATAAACAGCGGCGTATCAGGCATACAACATGCCCTGTTAGCTACCAAGATGGAAGCACAGAAACGAGTACCACCCAAACAAGCTTTCTAAAACCAAGACTCCAGCTCCGCGTAGAAACACAACACCCTAAAGTCACAAGCTGAACTCAAGGGACCAAACCTAGGTACTGGTAGTTCCTGCAGTTTATTTACTTCTCTGCAGGAGCTTCTGCTTCAATTGCAGAGGGCGTGTGTCAGGGATCAGGCAGGCTTTGACGGAAGGCGGGACGGAAATTTGCAACAGGTGAGGTGAGAAGAGCCTTGGGATTGACGAGGGCACCCGAATCCGACGGAGATGGTTGTGTGTGACAGAAACGAAAGCACCGATGCGTCGCTGTTCTGTACACTAAATTGTTTAGAAAGTGATGCACTGCAAGTGTTTGTTTAAAACGTGGACTTCTGCAGCATAAATACCGGTATGTCATGAAGGTTAATAGAAATCACAATCACAAAGTAGTACAGCGCCGCCAGAAAATTCCTACAGGCCTTATACGTCAGGCCATTAATTTACCTACAGTTCATTAAACTACTCAAATAGCACGCCCATATCATTGTCCCTGTCCTACTACCGTACATTGCTACGGTAAGCACTATTACGCCCCAAACTACCTCCACAAGCCGGGATGGTTGTCAAAATCCTAGTCTCGCCCTAAGCTTTAGAAGTTGCAGCGCAGGAGTCTCTTAGCAACCATCCCCACCTACCAGTTGAAGTTAGCAGCACCAAGTAACAAACCACCCTATTGTCCAATAGGGCCAGCACGATTGGTTGCACGTGGCACCTCAAGAGCACTGAGTGCTTTGTAGGAGTACGAAGGTTTATAGCCCGGCGACCCACTCTTGGTGAAAAATGCCCCATTCTCAAAGTGGTCACCCACTGACTGCCAGTCCCAGTTCATGTACGTGGTCTGCCCTGCTGCTATGTTGTGCTTTGTCACCTGCTCAGAGGCACCACAGCATGGAACAGCACAGAACAGACGCACAGCAGCGTGAGAAGATACACTGAGCAGCGTGCAAGAGGGGCTCTAGCAGAATGGAGGTCAACACACAAAAATCAAGAGCCACCTCTGAAATGAAGAGCCACTTTACCTCCTTGAGATACGGAACGTTATTCGCCACGAAATAGTTCCCCTCGCTCAGAAATGTCGGGTCAGCACTGCCACCAATGGCATAGATGCCCCATCCATTCGGGTAGTAGTTGTTCACCACGTGGAACTGCCCGAACCTGCCCCGAGGCAAGCGTTCCGACAGCTTAGGGCCGAACTTGTTCAGCATGACAGTTACACGCATGGCACGGTCAGCACTGTACGTGTCGTCATGACCCATCAATATGACCTGGGAGAATGGTAGTGGAAAGGGAGGGTCGGGGTTGGAGACGGAAGGTGGAGAGGAAGGCATGAAAGTGGGAGGCAAGGGAGGGCAAGAAGGACGGGGGATGCCAAGGGAAGGGCACTAGTCCCCTGCAAACCTAACCTCTGTGCCTACACTCACGCCTCCAAGAAGCAGTTGCACACTGAGATGGCAGTTTGCAGCGACAATATCAATGTGGGTGTCGTCCACCATTCTTCCCAAAATCAACCCAGTGACAGCAGTGCCGGTTGCGACAATATCAATGTGGGTGTCGTCTGCATTTATCCCCGTTATAACCCACCTCACCACCCCAAATTCACCCACCTTATCCTGATTTGTAAAGTAGCAGTTGGATACAGTGACAGCAGTGCTGGTCGCGACAATATCAATGTGGGTGTCGTCCGCGTAGTCGAACGAGCAGTGGTCCACCCACACGTGGTGCGACGCGTAGATGTACAGCCCGTACCCGTTAAGGTAGTTCCGCCCGCCCACTGTATTGTCCGGGCCCGTGGTCAGCGAGATCGCACCGCTGTTAGCAATGAGGGAAGGGGTGAGGGTGGTATGAGCTCCTCAAACAGCGGGAACGGCGGCTTAGCGGAGGGAACGGCGAGACTGCGTTACGTACACACGATTCTTGCAGTTTTTGAACGCCATGCCGTGCACGATGACGTTGTGCGAAAACTCGATGGCCATGCACGGCCCGTTACCCATCGTGATCTTTCGCCCACGCGCGTCCACCGTCTTGTCGTTATACACGATGATTTCCGCCTCCAACCCGCTAAAGTCAAAATCGTCATCGAACACAATCCACAGCGGCTCGGCCCGGGTCGCGCCGTATCGCAGTGTGCCTGGCTTGGGGCTGATCCGATCGTCCTGATTCGACGTCACGTGGTAGATGCGCCCGTTCGCGCCGCCAGTGGTTCCCGTCGCGTAACCCTCGACGCAGCTCGCCAATTTCGTCGGGGTGGCTTGCCAGTTGGGACCCATCCAGCAGTCGTCGATCGGGTTACCATACGGCAGCCACTGCATTATCCCCTGCGCAACGTCGTTGTGTCCCAACCAACCCATATCGCCAGATTTCGTCGCAGGCGCCTTCGAGGACTTCCCGCTCTTTCGCGAACCGCTTCGCGAGCCTCGCCCACGTCGCGAACCACCTCTCCTTGCGCCCCGCTTGTACTTGTGCCCCCCTTTTACGCGGCCACTCGTGGCTGGGGCATTCTTGTACTTGTGGCCGCCCTTTTTGCGGTTTGACGTAGCAGGGGTATCCTTCCACTTGTGCCCTCCCTTCTTCCTCCCAGTCGACGTCGTTCTCTTTCCCGACGAGCTTGATTGCTTTCCGCTCGTACTCGACGGGCGCACGGATTTCGACCCACCAGCCAAAAGAGCATTTTGCCCCAGGCCTATCTGCGGCAGGGCGAGGCGTATTTGCTGCAATGCGTTCGCCGGGACGCTCCCCTCGCATGCCTGCAAGCACAGAAAAATCGCACGCGTCCATAAGCACAACGCGTCCACGCTCGGGCTGGAGGAAAAAACAAAAACGAACGCGGAACTCTCCCACTCGGGACAGCGTTTCACTGGCACGTACGCGTGCAAGCGAGCTTGCCAGCTTGGTCTGCGCGACGGCTTGCCCCGGCTTGCCCGACTTGACGAGGCTGTCCGCCATCTGCAGCGCGCGGCACGCGCGCGTTAGCGTTGCGCCGCACGCCGTGGTGCGACTCATGTACTGCGCGATCAGGAGACTGTGCCACGCGGACGCGAGTGGGTTTAGCGCGGAGCTGCCACTGCGGAGGGTTGGGAAGCAGGGGGAATGCGGCGGGGGATGATCAGTAGAAGCAATTGGGGGGCAGTGCTTCGCTGAACTTGGCAACGAGAGCATGCCTCCTATACTTGTTATTGTGATGAAACTCACGCAAGGCTCCGGCGCAACCCGCCCTCGGCATATCCTTCCTCTGGCACGCCCCCGCCGGCCTCGGATGAGGCCGTCGCTGACGCGGCGGCTTCTGCGGCGGCTTTCGCGGCGGCCTCCAGCTCCATCAGCGACTTGCCGCCCCAACCCTCGTACGGCTGAGACACGTCAATCGTCACGCCTGTGACTCCGCCGACATAGTTGGCGGTGACAGGTACGCTTGGCGTTGAAGCCGTGGCACCATGCGTGAACTGGAATACAACCAGGACCAACAGTAGCGGTAATAGCGCCGGGAGGCCGGATGACCCCATTGGAACCCAAGCCCTCATAAGAGCCTTCAAATATATTCGAGGAGCTGTCTGTTTGTCAAGCTGAGTTCTTTTATTTTTTTCGCGTAAGGAGGACGATCGGTGGCAACGGGGATGGTACTAGAGTTAGGTGCTCGTCTAAGGTAGCATAACTGAGACGAAGTGGCGGATGACCGAAAACGCTGACCTAATGAATGCACTTTATATTTCTCGTCGACGAGACGGCGTCGCATCGCTGACTGCGCAGCTGTGTATAGAGGTAATATACCGAGACTGCCCTGCCCCGCCTCCAACCAACCAGAGTCCACAACCTATGGTCCAGGCCGCGAGGCCGCACCAGCACCCAGGGCTGAACCAGCCCAACCAAAGCCCGCCCCCCAGCACAAGCACCTGACCAAACCCAGGCCAAGGCGACCGCAAGCAGGAGCAAAGAAGCATCGCTTCAGCCCCTATCACGACGGTGCGGCTCGAAAGGATAAAATGTGGTTTGAATGTGAGGGCATTGTTTGTGATTGGCTGACCGCCTCTCGATGTTGCGCTACCTCGATAATGCTGCACCTCATTGTGATTCAATTGACTTCAAACGGACGCGACCCGTCGTGGATGGAAGTGATCGAGCCGCCCAGGCGAAGCCGACTCCGCTGGGACTTCAAACGAGAATCGCCAGAACAGAGAGAGAGTAGGTTACGCTGTCGCCAACAATAGTAACGCCATTATGTTACATCCAACAATATACCCAGCTTCTCATATACAGACGGAGCACTGTAAAAACGGTGAATCTTCCTATCCTAGCGCTCCAGTGTGACCTAATGCTAATTTGACAAGCAGGCAAGGAGCATCTCGTACTAGAGTACAAGAATAAGAAGTTTTATATTACTCTGTTCCTGAAAATACGAGTCACTGGATCATAGCTGTTTCCAACATAGGATGGAGTGCCACCGAACCTAGACGTGGGCCTTCTGTTATGCATAATGTTAAACAGATTGTTTTTTAGGAGTCTGAGAACTCGAGAGAGGTCATCATAGTGTTAAAACAAAACATGCAAAGTCATGAGGACTTCACAATTGCAACAAGGCCACAAAAATTCTCCTGTAAGCCTCCTCCCTGATTTCTGCTAAGTTGGCTTTCGAGTCGACTATAAAGACACCTTATTCATATCGGATCAGACCATCTGAAGTCCTCATGCAGAGTTCACGCCTGCGACAAGGCCATCTGGATTCTCCTGTAGGCCTCCTGCCTGACCCCTGCTAAGTTGGCTTTAATCTCCCTCGAGATTCGCCCCTCCACTAAGGCCACCGGCAGCCAGAAATGCGGGGTCAGCTCAACCGAGTATGAGAGGGTTGTGGGGCCGGAGGGAGAGCAGGGTAGCTGAAAAGGGGGGAAAGTGGGGGAAGGAGAATCAGTTTATTGACATTCTGGAAGAAACAAAACCGATTCGTGCGGTCAATTCGACCAAGTGGGAGAGGGTTGTGGGGGCGGAGGGGGAGCAGGATTGGTGGAGGGTGGGAACAGGAAGGAGTGGGACTGTTCCTTGAGAAATAACAGACCAAATGAATGCGAAGTGAATGAGGTGAGCGGCAAGCACGGAGCAAGGGGAAAAAATGGAAAAAAGAAAAGAGTATAAAAAAAAATTTAAAATATCAAAACCAGCCAATGAGATGAGCACAAAGATCACCTGCTCCTCCAAAGTCCACACGCCGACAAACTTTTGAAAGTCGCCCTCCACCATTTTGAAGTGAATGCGGCGCCTCCTCATGCTGCCTCCCACCCACCCTGCTCTCCCCCCATCCCCGCCATAACCCGCCTCACCTGTTCTTCCAGAGTCCACACGCCCACAAACTTTTGAAAGTCGCCCTCCACCATCTTGAAGTGGATGCGCCGCCTCCTCATGCTGCCTCCCACCCCGCCAATCCCAGCATCACTCTCCTCTCCACTGCTGCCGCTGCCGATGCTGCCATCACTACTGCTGCCGCTGCTCAAGCTTCTGGGAAAGGCACGAGGTAAGCGCTCCTCCTCCCCTTCCTCCACATCCACCACCACCTTGGCTCGGAACTTGATTCCCATCGCCACGTCCTGCTCGCCCACCTGTGAAAGGACGATATAAAATATGATACGATATGATACTGCAGGTCTCACATCCACCAGCACCTTGGCTTGGAACTTGATGCACATCGCCACATCTTGCTCGCCCACCTGTGAAGGAAGGGAAAGGATAAGGCAAGATAGGGTGGGATAAACTCGGAGACGATATCATACGGTATAATCTGATCTGTTTGGCTCGCATCCACCACCACCTTGGCTCTAAACCTGATGCCCCTCGCCACGTCCTGCTCGCCCACCTGTGAAGGGAAGGATAAAATAAGATAGGAATATGATACGATATTGTATGATTTGATAGGGTCTAATGATGCTGGACCCGTGTCCACCACCACCTATGTGAGAAAGAACTATATGCGCATCCCAACGTACTCTCGCCCATCTGTGAAGAGAGGAAAGAGGAGGAGACCCCATACTCATCTGCACTATGCCATCCCCGTTATAAACATTCTCTCAAACCTCGATTAGTTCATACCTGCAGCAGCCTGGCTCCGTTGCTTCGCCGCTGCAGCATCTGATTGGTCGCCAGGGAGGGGATAAAATCCGCGAGCCGCTCGTAGTCTGTCAGCACGCCCCACACCATGTCAGCACTCGCGGGAACCACGACGCGCGCGCTCACGCGCCGCGAGTTGCTTCCCAGAACCTCCACGTTCGCGTCGCCGCCGCTCGCGGCGTCTCCGGCGCTCGCGGCGCGAGTTGCGGCAGCCTCAGCGGAAGGCGCGCCCTCGTCGGACATCCTAGCTGCCACGTCATACGAGCGCCGATTACGGCGGGATAGCCGGGACTTACTATGGCTATGATTGACGGAAGAAACAGACCGAGATTTTAGAAAACATGGCTTGGTCCCGGTTTGGAGAAGCAAGTTCGAGGAACCATTGGATCTGGGAAGCTGACAAACGGGGAACTTGCTATCGCGTCTAGTCAAACGGGGAAGATCTTGCGCGAAAAGTGGAGGTATCGAAACGGCATTGCTAAGGGCGGCATGAGCCATGATGGCCGAAAAGAAATTTCTACAAATTAAAACTCAAATAGATGGGAATGGGAGGAAGGACGCGTAAAATCTACGTCCTGGGGTTTGCCTCGGTTTCCCCGACACGTGGAGCACTTTGCGGCTGAGCGCGTGTCGCACTTTGCGCTGACCGAGAGGAAAAAATATGAGTTTGTGGGGATTGCTACACCTAGTCCGCGGTATTTTAACCACGTGAACTGTTTCGCTTCAAACACCCTTTGTTCGTTTTCGGGTAATGAGATGGGCACCCAGAGACTTCAAGGCTATTGTTTTGCAGCTAGAAGCATTTCCTTCTAAAGAAACTCACACTTAGTGCTCCGAAATAGAGGGCGGATCGGCATTGACCAGGTTTTGACTGCCGTCGTCTCACAAAGGGTATGCTAGATTCTACCCTCAATATATTTCGAAACTACTCGTTTAAAAAAGTTTGACCAAGGAGAAGTACCCTCGCGCGGTTAAGATAGCGGCGGTTAAAATACCGCGGACTAGGTGTATATGGTGCCTCTGGTTTCCCCCTTTTTTTTCAAAGGGAGCGGATTGGAGGTGGTGGGGGTAGAGGAGCAGCCGGCAATCTTGTACGTTTTAGTAGTTGCTTCATTAGCATGCAATATGTTTAACACCGCATATACGTAGTTCTGCTATAATAATATCAGAATTTTACAGCTCCAACTCACGGCCTTGATGTAAGAGCTATCGAACCAACTCTAAGCGCGTACAGACAGGAAGAACGTCCGTCACGCTCATCCTCCACCGTCGCAGAATTGTCGCCGTCATCGCAGCATCGTTTCTGCGACCACCATACTTCCAACCGGCGATCGCGATCTCGATGCGACGCGAGCGTCTGCTGGAAACGGCACGCATCGCCGCTGGGGCAGGGCTTAAATATACCCACGCGCTCGACTCCTAACCGGAAACTTGTTATGAGGCGCCTCGAGAAAAGGAACGTGCATCGCCGCGGGGTCTGGTTATTACATAGTACACGTTCGACTCCGAGTCGAAGACGCTGATTCCGCAGGGCCTTGTTCCGAGCGAACCGCCATCACGTGAAGCAACAGTGACGCTCGCGACGCCGCGAAATTCATCTCACGTCGAGGCCGCTAGACGATAATCGTCGGCGCGAAGCGATGCGTTGCTGAGTCGCCCACGTGAACACCGACAGCAGCCGGTCGTCGTCGCCGCGTCGCCATTCGTCGCTTCTTGGAGTAGTAGTACTATTTGTAGAAGAACTAGGACTGATTATCGGGGACGCCGTCCGCGCCGCGTAACGCTGCGCCGAGCTCCGCGGCGAGCTGGCCGCCGAGTCGCTCTGCGCCGCACTGGTTGTGCTCGCGACGCGCGGAAGCTCCAGCGGACAAACCGCCGCCCCCCGGACCGTGTTTCTCGCAAGGTAGGAGTCCGAGCTTGCGCGGTGAACCGCGGGAAGCGCCACGTCATACGCGGTAGTCGGTGAGTACGGCTTTGGTTGCGGTGGTAGTTGCGCCGAAGATTCTCGTGCCGCCGCGCCGCCGCCGGCGGCGGCCCATGATGCGGCGGTCACGCGAGCTTCGTCGATGGAACGGCGGCGGCGCGACAGTGTCGATGGGGGGGCTGTTACTAAGTCTAACGCGGGACTGCTGAGGGATCGCACGCCACGCCGCAGGCTGTTTCGGGTGTTCGCAGAACCGTTGGGCGACGCGTTGCTGTCGCCGGCTGTCGCACGGTTCCACATCTCGAGGCGGGTATCGAGGCGGGAAAAACGAGCGGGGCTGGTCTTGTTGGAATCGGTAGCAGCAGCAGCAGCGGAATCGGCGGGAGCTTGGCAGGACTCAATGAAAAAAACGGGAGCAGGCCGATCGGCGCCGTTAGACGACGAACACATCTTGTGGGAATCGTAGAATAGGAGGGACGAGACTTTCAAATGAGGCACGAGACTTCGTGAACTCTACGGATCTTATGAACCCTGACGCTCCCTAAATAAAGCTGGGATTTCTTCGTGCTGACTAAAGCTCAAAGCTGTGTGCTGGAAAGCGGCTGTCAGTCTCCCTCAGTGTCTTCCCCGCAAACAGTTGGAGCTTGGAAGCACCTTCCACTGTGGTGCACTCATTTCTGTTGGTCTGCCTTTCAGCTTTGCAATGATGGTAATCATCAGCGAATTATGCCGAAGAACATTCAAGTAAACTCGAAGGAGGCAGAGAAGGGCCCACGTTTCCCACCAAGCGTCGTCGAGTGTAGATTTGGATGGCGAACTGAGCAGCGAAGGTTGGAGGAGGGCCTGTGCACCATGGAACGCACGTGTCCACGCAACTGCAGTTAGCGTTTCGGCTCCTGTTATATTTTTGAAATTGCCCCTTCCGTACATTGTGTGTGCCCCATAGGGGCGCTGGAGGGAGTTGAACAACTCCGACAGCTGGTTGGGTGTCCACAATGAACAGACTACTACACTGCCTACCTGTGGTAATTTTCTTCCGAACCGAAGGTCTCACTGCAGTTCCAACACTGAGAGGACATTGTCAATAAATCTCGACCGCACAGCAAGCAAGCATGTGCGGACAACCACTTTTGTCGAACCTCGTCTGGAAATAAAAACGCAATATTTGTACGACTGCTCGTTTCTCACAAAATCTATCAAAAGGGGCACTCGCTGTTGGAAATATAGCAACAGCTGTCCGATCATAGCTGGTCTACGGGCATTCGTTGAAAACACGGAAAACATACAGTTCTCCCATGCGAGGGTGTCTGAATCTGAAGTCGACTCCTCAGCCCACCCTTTTAGCCAAGCAAATCGAATTTCGTTACGTGTGAAATCACTCCACGCACACCTCCAGTGGGAAGGTATCTTTGCTCGGAAACCAATGATGACAAAATCGTGGAGGAATTTCACGGCTCCCTTCCTCATCCTCCTAAAAACAGACCCACACGTTGAGAGCCAATGTTTGTAACACTACTACTAGAGGAGCACCTCTATTGGTGGTGGTCATGGTGTTTCTATTTTTTTTTTAACACAGCCTCAACCTGCGCAACAGCCAGACTGTTAGTGGTTCCCTATTGTCTTTACCTTCTCCCTTTTTTCCCTACGCGTCCATCCTCACCCCTTGTCCATGACCCTTTTCTCTTCAAGTACCACCAATCTTGCCCCATTTTCATTGCTTGCTTCCTCGCTTAGAAAGCTCTCGCGAATCAAAACATTCCGATTTGATTCCGACCAATCTGTACTGCACAAAAAAGTAATCCCCGGTAACAAAATTTCTCCTTGTTTTGAAGGTTCTCAACGTCCTTACGACTCATTTTCTGCCCGTTTCCTGACCCTCTTTCTCCTTGTACGGTATTCGAAACTCCCACAATGCGAAATGCCCCTTCAGCTCAGTTCCTGCCCATCTTCTTGGCCTTCTTCCTCCTTGCCCTCTCTTCCTCCTCCCTTGCTAATAGCTCCGCCTCCCTCTCGTCCTCCTTGCGAGCAATCAGAGCACTGCAGTGGATGAGGAGGATGAGGATGAGGATGAGGATGAGGATGAGGATGAGGAGGAGGATGAGGATGAGGAGGAGGATGAGGAGGAGGATGAGGAGGAGGATGAGGATGAGGAGGAGGAGGAGGATGAGGATGAGGATGAGGAGGAGGATGAGGAGGAGGATGAGGATGAGGATGAGGAGGAGGATGAGGAGGAGGATGAGGATGAGGATGAGGAGGAGGACGAGGAGGAGGATGAGGAGGAGGATGAGGATGATGACGAGGAGTCACAAGCACCACAAAGAGGTGACATGGAGAAGTCACACAGACAAGCCACAGAGATTCAGTTGATATCAGATGTCTCACCTTCTCTCCTCCGCCATCAACTGGCTGAACCCAACCTCTATGTCGTCATCATCACGTCACAGCCATATGCCATTCGAGTCGACCCACTGGTGCAACAACCGAATCTCACCTTCTCCTTTCTTCTGCCATCAGCTGGCTGAACCCAACCTCCATGTTGTCGTCGTCGTCGCTGTCATATGCCTTTTGGGTTCACCCACAAGGCAATCAATTCACTCCAACGTCTCACCTTCTCCTCTCTTCAGCCATCAACTGGCTGAACCCAACCTCCATGTTGTCATCGTCGTCGCTGTCATATGCCGGCCCCATGTGGTTCTCCCTGTGGTTGCGCCTGTGAGGGGGGAAGAGGTGGCGAAGAGGGGAAGGAAGGGGGGAGAAGGGGAATGAAGGCCATCCATCATCGCTGTCATATGCCGGCCCCATGTGGTTCTCCCTGTGGTTGCGCCTGTGAGAGCAAAAGAAGTGCGGAGGGAGAGAGATAAAACGTGTGAAGCACCACTGTTAGTTACCTAGTGATTTGAGTGGGTGAGAATGTTTTCAGAGATGCATACTCAGCAAATGACAGTGCTTCTCCCTATTGTTGATGCGGCTGAGAAGAAGAGCACGAGAGTGTGTGTGGTGTGGGTAGATGACCCTACCACGCTCCCATCAACATTATCCTTCCCATCAAGCTCAAAACGCATTTCCCCGCCTCCATTCCTCAAAAACGGAGAATAACAAATGCCACACCCCATACCCATACCAATTGTGAGCACACTCCCTATGACACCACTTCCATCCACCATACTGTAATATGCCACACCCCATTCATACCTGAACATGACACATTCAACCCATTCATAACCTGAACATGCCCCATTCAACCCAATCCTACCTAAACGTGTCCCATTCGACCCATTCATACCTGAACATGCTCAGAATAGAACTGCCCAGCAATCCTCCTCCTCTCCCTCCCCTCCGCCCATACTCCTCCTCATCCTCATCACTCCCCACCACAAACGAATCCTCCTCCTCCTCATCCTCTTCCTCCTCTCTCTTTCTCTTAGCTGGCAACCCCCTTCCGCCTGCTCCCCTCTCCCCTCCTCCCCTCCCTCCGAATGTGTCACCTCCTCCTCTGCCTCCCATCCTCTCGCCCCCTCCCCTTCCCCCCATCCTCTCTCCATCCCTCCTAGGGAGACCTCTATCTGCTTCTCTCTGTGCCCCCATCCGACCCGGATCTCTCCGAACCTCCATCCCTGGCTTGGGCCGAGCCATGCCAGCAGGTCTGGCCGGAGCAGAGCCAAGAGGCTTGTTTGACATAGGGGGTGGTTGGGTGCGGTGGGGAGGGGCAGAACCTGGTTGCGGCTTCTGCAGGGAACAGAGGAACAAGAGGACGGGAAGAAAGGGAAGAATCGAGGGGGGGGGGGGCGGGGGGGGGGGGAGGGGGGGGGGGGAGGGGTGAGGAGGGAGGTGAGGAGGAATGAGAGGCAGAGGGGAGTATGGTGGAAGAGGGAGGGCGTGAGGGGAACGAGAGGGGAGAGGGGAGTGTGGGGAAATGTAGGAAGGGAAGGAGGGACGAAGAATTCAGTAATGAGGAGAGCAAGGCTGGGTGAATGGAGAGGATGGAATTAGGTACATCTCGAGAAAAAATAGGAAAAACGCTCAAATGGAGTGGAAGAAGGGAGCAAGATTGAGTGGATTGTGGAGCAGGGAGCATACCTTGATAGGCCGATCGTCATAGCCCCCGCCCCGTCCACTCATCCCATACGCCCCATGTACCCCCCTGTCCGCTTTATCCCGCCCATCCATCCGCCTCTCATCACCATCCCTTCGAACAATGTCCCCTATCCCTACCCTCCCGCTCCCTCCCATTCCACCACCTCCTCCTCCTCTCCCGACTCCTCCCACCGCCCCCACTCCTCTTCCAGCCACACTCCCCCTTCCTGCCGCCCCTCTACCTTCCCCTGGCCTCACTACTCCTCTCCCCGCACCTGCAGTCCCCATTCCACCAGAACCAACACCAGCCCCAGCACCAATACCCGCGCCAGCACCAGAGCCAGCTGCTCTGCTAATATGCCGTTGCTGCTGGGCACCGCCGCTGCTGTGGCCGATGCTCCCCGCCCCTCTGTACCCCTCTCCATCCCTCTGCACGGCCCTGTCCCTATGCCCGTCCCTCTCCCTGGGTGCATCCCTGTCTCTAGGAGGAACATCCCGCTCCTTCACCCCATTCCTCTCCTTGTGCAAATCCCCCCTGTAGGGATCCTTTTGCCCCTCCCTGTAAGCGTCTTTCTGTGCGTCTCTGTGCCTCTCGTTATGCCTCTCGTTATGCCTTTCGTTATGCCTGTCGGTGTGACTCTCTTTGTGTCTCTCGTGCTCTCTCTCGCTGTGCCTGCCGTTGTGCCCCTCTTTATGCGAATGGTGGTGCCCATGCCCACTCCCATGTGAAGAGCTCTCATTCCTCACTCTCCCCATCCCACCATCCTTCCCCCTCTCCCGATCTCTCTCCCTCTCCATCTCCCTGCCTCTATCCCTCTCCTTCTCCCTCCCCCTCTCCCTCTCATCCCATCGGCCCCCCACGTCCCGAGCCTCTTCCACCCTCCTCCCCACTCCCTCATTCCGAACCCTCGCGTCCGGCCCGGCGGCAGTCACCGGTCGCCGAACCTGCCCGTCAGGTCCGGCAGAAGCCATCGGCCGACCAGGCAGAGGCTTCGCAGGCTTCGCCGCATGTGATTGGCCAGGAAGCGGCTGCTGACGTGGCTGGTCTCTATACTGGTCCTTGGAAAGCGGAGGGGTACTAAGAGATCTCGGAGGGGCTGTGTGCGGTCTAGGAGGGGTGATCTGGGACCGGGAGGGAGGTGGTTTTTGCTTGGAATCTGATGAGAAGAGGAAGGAGAAGTCCCGATTCTCCTTGAGTCGCTTGCGCTTCGCCTCCTCCTGAAACCGGGACCAGGGGAATGGCATGGGGTGGATGGAAGGGAGTGGCAAGGGTTGGAAGGGATTAGTGTGAGGTGGAAGGGGATGACATGGGGTGACACAAGATGGGATGGAGTGGGGGACGACAGGGGTAGAACAACTGCTTTTACAAGAAACCACAATAAGCCCCCCAACCTCATCAAAGTACAACCATGAGCGCCCTCCTGTCATAGATTCGCTTCTAAAAGAATAGCGAATCAAGAAACCATCAAGCCCCTCGAATTTCGCCTCATAAGCATCTTCCTGTCCTCAATTCGCTTCTAAGATTTCTTGAAAGCGAAAAAAACAAACCATAGTAAGACCGCCTTATCTCACCTCAGCGAGGAGCATCCTCCTGTCGTCCCGGTAAGCCGCCTCTGGTGCCTTCTTCGCCCCTCCAGGCCTTCCTGCCTCTCCCCTCAGCAACTGCAATAAGCTCCCCTCAATCCCACTCACCTCAGCGAGGAGCATCCTCCTGTCGTCCCGGTAAGCCGCCTCTGGTGCCTTCTTCGCCCCTGCAGGCCTCCCTGCTACATTCGCCTTGCTGCCACTGCGTGCCTTCTCCGCCTCCTGCCAGTGCCAGGGCACCCACATGCGAGGCACAGAGACACACGCACATGAGAGGTACAGGGGACAACCACAGTCGCTATCAATCACCTTAGAAGATTTCTCCGCCTCCTGCTCATGACCGGCACACATGTGCGAGGCAAAGGAGACAGACATACGATGCAACAAGGGCACACATAGACGAGGCAACGGGTACAGACACGCAATGCGAAGGACCGAAGAAGGACCCCTATGATCTGATACCCTACCCAACCTGCTGACGAGCCTACTGACGAAGCCAACCTTCCAAACAGTACATTCCGGAATATTAAGAAGCTCACCTCTCTCTTCCGCTGCGCCTCGCGAGCGGCCATGGCCTGAGCCTCTCGACGGATCCGCTCCGCGTCCACCACCGTCTTGGCAATCGCCACCTTCGAAGGCCCGAAGAACGACCCCCAGTTGCTGCAGGCGGGAAAGTTTTGAATGTGATCAACACGCAAAAGCTAAGGGCTTTCAGTGTGGAACGGCTCTCGTCGACGCAATCGGGAAGTGAGAGAGATTTAAAGCGAAGATATGCGCGGAACGTGAAGGAGAATCTTATTTCTAAACCTCTTGTGGGTCGACGTTACAATTCGACTCAAAAATCACGAAAATAATTGTTCTCTTTGAAGAGACCCTTTCCCTGATCAATCCATGGGGGACGAACCTTCCGTTCTTCTTCGGATCGGCACTGCCATGCGAGGGTCCGTCTCCTCGTCCTCCTCTCTCCGCCCGACCATTGCCGTATCCGTCATACTCGTCCCGCTCTCTTCTGTCACTCCCGCCATAAGCTCTCCCGCTACCGCTCCCACCGCGTCCTCCACCTCCTCCTCCTCCCCCTCCCCCTCCCCGTTTCTCTTTGTATCCATCACTGTAACCATCACCATCGTCGTCGTCTATAAAGTCGTCGTCGTCGTAACCATACTGATGGTTGTGGTAACCACCCGCATCGTCTTCGTCGTCGTCGCCGTATCTTGACGATCCTGGTCGGCCTTTGTTCTTCTGTCGAATCAGCTCCTCTAGCTTGTTACGGCGCTCCAAATCTGCCATCTGATTGAAATCTTAACAGGATTACTTCCAGCTGATCTTGTCCAGGTTTCCAATTTCCAAAAGGCCTTATTCACCTGATGCTTCCAGATAGCTCTAGTAAGAAAGTCGATCACACCTTACAAATCAGCCACCCTATCGCAATATCATTCATTCAGAGAGTGCATGCGCTGGCGAGTAAAGTTCTCGTCAAAATTTATCTGTGGCTGCTTACCTAAACGTCAATAGTTTTCTTTCTAAACAGTCCCTTACAAACGCTTAATTACTGCATCGATCAACGAAGAAGGGACTAACGTGAAATGTTAGTAGCATCAAGAAATCCGCTTCGTGGCCGACCAAAATCCCGTCTCTTATCAGTCAGCTGACGTTCCTGGAGAAAGCTAGAAACTTAATTCTTTTCTGAATCGTAACTGAACGGACCACCTAACTCTCACATGCAAATCCGTCAATAGTTTGCTAGTCCAACACTCCGCTAAGAACTGAACGATTCTAGGTCTGACAACAGCAAAAGGACTTGAATAGAGGAATGTGACAGTCATGGGATGGGAGAGATTAGGTCAGGCATGAGAAATCCGGCAACATCCATGGATGGATGAACTGGTGTTGCTGAAACTGGTGGTGGGGGAAGGGATGGAACTTGCTCGAATCAGGTGTCGTTCACCTTCTCGTTTCTGTTCAAAAAGTACAGGTGGCCATATTCTCGAAGGTCCTGGTGTCAAACCACGTAGAACGCAATCATGGAATTGCTCCGCATTCTGAATTCGGAGTGTCACTTTTAGCAGACCCCACCGTCACCTGACAGGCAAATACTGTGAATCAACCCCCACACTGACGAGCCGCAGCAACCCAAGCATGTCTGACAGATCAAAACTTAGTGCGTACTTGTAATGCGTATTTTATATAATATAACATAAACAGACTTACACGTCCTATGTAATAGATAATGCATATACGTAGCTTTTGTTTTTACATATATTGATACGCTATATCCATCCAGCCCTTGCAGGGCCAATCAACTCTCTGAGAGCTGTGGATTTCACGAATTAGCTGCGACCCGTCGTGCTGCGATTCTCCTTTGCGCGGCCCACGCGAACACAGAATAGCTTCCCGCGTTCACTTGCTGCTGCTGCTGAAGCCCCAAATTCTGCCCCCTATTTTGATGCTGCTGCTGTTCCCACTGCTGCAACGTTCCTGGATTTCTTAGTGCATTACCCGGAGAATTTCTACCATATTGGCGGGCGTAAGCCTGCCCAGGGTTTATCGACGGGCTTCCCAAACGCTGCAAATTTTCCGCTGCACTCCCTGTTACCCGCGCCATCGACCGCGCTGCTGCACCCAAACCAATCCCAGCCTCCGCGGCGTGTTCTTGCGCCGTGGACCCAACCCCCGCCCTCGAACCCATCCCGCTTCCCGCACTTTCCCTGCACTCCCGCGCCGTCGCATCTTCAGCTCGTTGACGCGAGACGTCAGCCGGCGATCGCTGCGGATCTTGCAAGCCCACGCGTGGACTTCCGCCCGCGGACCTACTATACCCTGGCGCTTCGAACCTCGAACCCGTGCGCGCGCCGCCCGGCCTGACATAGATCACCCGACACATGGCTTGCCGCCATAGCTCATCAACCCCCGGCCCCCCTAGCACGTGCGCGCTGTGCGATCGCGGCAGCTTTGCGCGGGCCTTCGTCCGCCGATCCGCGGCCTCCAGGAGCGCGGAAGGTACGCGGCACGGGTCGCTTAGAGTCCGCACAGGGGAAGCTTCCGCCGGGCAGAAAGATGCCTTCAGCTGTGGCGCGGGCAGGCTGAATGATCGGACAAGAGGTGTCTGACAATCCCCCTCTCTCGACATTATCCGTGATCTGGATCGACGGGATTTCGTCTCGCTAAGCGCAGACCCGGTAAGCTTCCCGGAATTGCTGCAGGAGGTTCGGGACATCCGGGAGGACGCGGCTGTAGCGCGATTCCACATCTGTAGCCGGGACTCGGTGCGGTGACGTAGAGTGCTCGTCGGGGAAGTACTGCATGTGGGTTCACGAGACGAAAACTCCCAAAAACTCGGGTTTCTACGAATTCTTGCACTGAGAGACGCACTGTCATCGCCCTCTGCCTGTTGACTGCCCATGCTGCTGGTACTGTTAGCGCGAGCACTCATGCTGATACTGCCGTTTCCGATGCTCGAAAAAGAACTCATGTAGGTATGCTGTACGGCACTGCTATAGCTCGGACTGCTGCTTCGATCAATTTCGAGATGACGACTCGCAGAGGGTCTCGTCACTTCAAGTGAACGTCGCGAACTCGAGACGAGGGTTTGATTCAGGGAACGAGGGGTTCCAGGTGGCTCCATAGGTCCTGTGGAGACTGCTAATCCGACGGCACTACTAATCGATCACCGTCAAACTTTCTTGGCGAAGCCTTCACTTTCATTCCCGCCACGAGTTATCTTGTTCCTCGGACTGGTTCGACAGATGGTTGCCACAGTGGGCGAAGCGCTGGAAAAATAATCTCAATATTATTCTAGATTTGGAACGAAGTTCTATTTTATCGTAACGGAAGAAAAGCTGTGAGAAGATTCTCAGGTGGTTCTCGCTTGTTGGGGTTGCGGCTGGAATATGCACGCCGCAGCGTTCTGCGGTTCCGCACCGCAGTGTATTTCCGGTTCCTCCAGAGGTCGTCGAATGTTCACTGGGAGTGAACAGTTGCTGGAGGCTCAAAGCAAAAGCAGCCACCGAAGCAGCAACAGCGGGGAGAGCGGAAGCAGCATTCCCGCAGTACCTGTGAATCCGGAAGTGTATGCCTGACAGGCATCATGATATGGCATCAGGTTGGTGCAGTGCAGAACAACTAAAAGTCACAAATATGTTCCCCATATACTTTCATTTTTATCTGCCCGAATTCCAGGAAATGGTGTTTTGTTATGTCAGACACTGCCCAGAAGTTTCACTGGTTGATTTGGGGCAACCTTTGATGATACAGTATCTGATTATTTTGGCGCCTTCTTCTCCATGGATCTCTGTTCTGCGCACATGCTTTTGTTCCTCTTTTCTGTTCATGATTCGACAGCTGCCCAATTCGGCAGGCAATCGACAAAGTTGGTTATCCCGATTTAGGAGATCCATCCGTGCTTGCTCGCATCTTCCAGAATGTACGATTTCAATAGAGCTGGTTACCCGATGTTCGTATTGCATAGTAGATGTTTCACTTGTAGTAGCAATCTGGCTTTCTAAACGAGGAAAGATTGGTTCAAGCATATGCATACAGTTGGTGCAGCAGAAAAACTTGAAGCCTTCCGTATTTGAATCTCTTATATTGATAATCTGATCATAATCGTTGACAATGACAGACAACAGAATGATATTGTTGAGGAAACCGAATCCTCATGCAAAGGTTAGCTTAGACTAGAAAAAAAAACCATGGAAACACCAGGGTTATATAGCCTCCCCAAGAGGCGGCCTCCAAAACGGTGTAAACTAGACAGGCATGCTCGCCATGTTCAGGAAACTGCAGCACACGCCCCAGAAATACTCAATTTCTGGTACCGTTGATCCGATTGGCCATGCGCCTCTTCGCCGCCCATTCAAAAACAGACTCTGTTCCGCTCGCGGCGGTGGCGGAGCCATGGGGAGAAGCACTTCCGCCTTTCGAACCGCTCCCGGGACTTCCGGAAAGTGGTCTTCCGAAGCTGAAAGCGGAACTTTCGCCAAGGCTTCTCCGCGCGCGGGTATTGCTCGGGGAAGCTGGACCCGCGGCGCTTCCATTGACATGCGCGCTTCTGGATCGCGAAAGGCTCGGGCTCGCAGGAAACAGCGGCGAGGACGCTCCAGACGCTGCCGCGTCGCGATCTTGGGCCGCGACGGAAGTATCAGAGCTGCTGTTGCTCGAAGGTCCCCCGAGGGGCGAACTGCGCGTCGACGCGGCGGCTGCATCGTTGACGGAGTTGGCTAGGCGAATCGCCGGGATGCTATTCGACCGGACAGGCGGGAGTGCGCATCCGCTGCGCTGAAGGAGCTCTTGGCGCGCAACGGCTTCCGCCGCGGTCCTTTGCGCCGCGGACTGCGCAGGCAATCCCGCTGCGCCTGCGCCGGCCGTTGCGCGGTTCCACATCTTGAGACGGCGGTCGATCTGCGCGAATTTTGCGGGGATACCACCGGCGGTAGTACCGCTGGCGGAGGCCGAGGAGGCGGAAGAGGCGGAGGCGGTGGAAGAAGACGTGTACGCGTCTCGTGACTTGTACGCATCTTCGGCGGAAGAGGCGATGGTAGAATGAAAAGCGGGCGTTTCGTAGAAACAGTTGGATGGGCTCGACTGTGACAGGCGGTGGCAGGGAGAAGTCGGTAAATGGAGTTGAGGGCGGTGCGCGACGGTGGACGCCATTTCGATCTTGAGGGAGATATTTTGAAGCGAGGATGGACCTCCGAGACTCGGGTTTGGAACGGCCAATGAACCTTTCGAGAAGAAACGTCCGTTGAAAAATGAGATGTTTCGGTTCCTGAAGGATTTTGTCGAGGGTAGCAAGCCCGACTAAGCTCTGCAGACCTGACGGTTCGGAATTCTACAAGATGGCGGTATCTTGGTCCGGCAAGTCGGGAACCAAGAGAGCTGACAATTGCTGCTCTAGGGAGCACGTCTGCTGGTGCGGAGAAGGTAAGATGTGGGACTGCTAGCTTTACTTTGCGGAGGTAAGTCAGGAAAATGGTGGGAAATCGTACCTCGGCTCTAGATACAGCTGTTCGAGCAGCAAAAACTGGCCAGAACGATCCGCCCTGCTTTCGTGCTCCTCAGCCTCCCTGCTCTTGCTGGCAAGCAATTTTGTGTTTGCTCATTTCCCCTTCACCAAACCTCCGTCTCTTCAGGGAATCCACAGTGCGATCCGGGGCCAGTTGGCATGGTTGCGGTTGGGGTGGGGGAGCTGCAGAAAACCGCTTTGGGGAAACGGGTGCCAGCGGAGAAAAAGGCTGGCGGGCAGCGGCAGGGAAGGGGGACGGACCGAATGCAACGGCGCAAAAGGGATACTGTACTTGGGGTTGTTCTTCCCCAACTCTTCTTCCCCCCAGAGCTTCAAATTTCGGGTAGCCCGAAACAAAAGATCCTGACAAGTGGAGTTTATTACGTAGTGATGGGGGCTGGTTGCGCGATGTGCCCTCGTGTGTCCGTCAGTGAGGCGTGGCGCTTCGCATTTGCAGTTCGTACTGGTGGCACTGCAACACCATTTGCGTGCTGCTGCTTTGTGTGGTCAGGGAACAACACCTACGAAGTGCCCTCGAAACACACAAAAAGGTTTCGGCCATCTACCACTTTTGAAGTTCCAGTCGTTCGCTCCACGCTTTCCCAGAAGCATAAACTACACTGGGTCCAAGGATAAACTGCATCGAAAAACAAAAACTAGCAGTGTCCGAAGGAAGCTTCGCGAGGAGATTCGAGACGCTAATCACTGTAGCTTCGTAGTGGATAGGGCTGGGTTCACTTTCCGTATAAAGTAGATTGAACACGTCACTCGTGCGTGTAAACGCATAACTTTACGCCAATTTCGGACAGATAGTTTGATGAAGACAAACATGAAAAATGCGGAAGGCATCACATGTACATCTACGCGATCCAATCGCCAGATCTCTTCACACTGTACAACACAGTGCCTGTGTCTTTTCTTTCACGTTTTCGGAGCCGACGCTTCCCGTATTTGCGGAAATGTAAAAAACTTCACAAAATACACTACACAACCGTACTATTTCTTTCTCACGGTCAATTTAACAAACTCGCTTTTCTCACGGTAATACTGTTGACCCTCACTGTTTACGGATGGTGGTCAACACCGTGGACATCGCTGCTGCCATTTACTGCTGTTGTTTTGTCGGAAATCAATCTCTCGTAACGAGAGTCTTGTGGTAGTGCACTTATTTCTTGTGATACACTGGACTAGTTTTGAATTACACCAACATACTTGCAAAAACTTTCTAAGAATACCTTTTAAATATCAACTATCAATCCTTGTGAAGCTTTGCTTCTGTTTCCCGGTGGCGCAACATGTACCATCGCGAATACAGCTGCAGGCATACGGCTAGGTGAGCCTTTACCAATGCGAGAACCAACACAGTACCCATAACAACTACTGGCGTAATGCAACGAGACAACAGGTGGCCGGCAGGGATCAACGATGCAATCAACGGAGTTGCAACTCGAATAACCTGGGGTAAAATAGCCGTGGAGATACGGGGAGGAGAAGAAAGCACCACGAAGAGAGTGCATGACGAGAACGGATGGGAGGGAGGGGATAGTGGGTGGGGGGGAGGGGGGGGAGAAACAGGGAAGGGGTTTCTGAGGGGACAAGGGGTTTGAAAGTGTACAAATGAGGGTATGGCTGAATGATACAAAGGGAGGGAGGTGGGCAGAAAGGCACGAGGCTCATGCTGGTTGCAGGTGATGGCAGCAGCCAGTGACAATGTACCCATCGTCACCACACCACACCCATAACCACCCACTCATGCTGCGGTGCACGTGGCGGCAACAGTCGCTCACGAAGAACCCAACAACACCGCAACACACCCACCACCACCCATCACCGCACCAAACCCGCCACTACCCATCTCCCCCATAAACTCACATTGCACACGGGCCCAAGAGGAACGAAGCTCATGCCGCGATGCACATTGTGGGTGAGAGCAAAGACACACAATGCACCTATCATCACCGCACCGCACCCCCCCTCCCCCCCCCTCACCGTCCCGCACTCTGCAACTCACATTGATTGCGGGCCCAAGAGGCACAAAGCTCATGCTGCGGTGCACATGGTGACCGAAAACAATCACAATGTACCCATTGTCACCGCACCACATCCACCACCACCCCTATGCCCCCCCCAACTCACATTGATTGCCGGCCCCAGAGGCACAAAGCTCATGCTGCGGTGCACGTGGTGGCATCGGTCCTCCAGCACCTGGGGAAGGAGAGGCGTGGTGGGGGGAGAACAAGTGGGGGGAGGTGGAGGGAGGTGGGGGGAGGTGGGGGGAGGTGGGGGAACAAGTGGGGGGTGGTGGGGGGAGGTGGGGGGAGAGTGCGGTTTACATGGTGCCAGCACGTGGTGGCATCGATCCTTCAGAACCTGGCAAGGGGAAGGAGAGGGTAGAGAGAGGTTAGAGGAGAGGTAGTGGCAGGGAAAAAGGGGAGGATGCAGGCTGGAGCAAGGGCAATGGTGAGGTGAGCGGTCGGGGAAAAGAAAAGAGAGAGATTCGTGTGGGGCATGTGATGGTAAACAGAGAGGTGCATGTGATGGTAAACAGAGAGGTGCATGTGATGGTAAAAAAAAAAAGAGGGGTGGGTGTGCAGAACGGTTCACCTGTGTGCAGAACGGTTCACCGGTGTGCAGAACGGTTCACCTGTATGCAGAACGGTTCACCCGTGTGCAGAACGGTTCACCTGTGTGCAGAACGGTTCACCGGTGTGCAGAACGGTGCACCTGTATGCAGAACGGTTCACCCGTGTGCAGAACGGTTCACCTGTGTGCAGAACGGTTTACCTGTGTGCAGAATGGTCTTCCTGTCTGCAGAGCACTTAATCTGTCTGCTGAGTGGTTCACCTGCATGCAGAGCGGTTCATGTGTGTTCAGTGCGGTTCACCTGTTTGCAGAACAGTTCACCTGTCTGCAGAGTGAGAGCAGGAAGTCGGAGTAGGTTTCGGGCTTGATCTCGTTGAACTTAGCGAGAAAGGAATGCTTGAGATTGTCCACTAGCATTTCACAGCCCCACACCGTGCACACGTTCTGCAGTTTGGTACAGGTGGGCATGTAGGTAGGTAAGAAGGTATGGGCAAAAGCAAGTAAGCCAGTTGAAAGGAGTGCTTGAGATTGTCCACTAGCATTTCACAGCCCCACACCGTGCACACGTTCTGCAGTTTGGTACAGGTGGGCATGTAGGTAGGTAAGAAGGTATGGGCAAAAGCAAGTAAGCCAGTTGAAAGGAGTGCTTGAGATTGTCCACTAGCATTTCACATCCCCACACCGTGCACACATTCTGCAGGCATAAAGCACAGCCAAGGAGGCAGAGAGGCAGGGAGGCATGAACGCCGGCAGGGAGGGAAGCAAGTGAGCAAACTGAAAGGAGTGCTTTAGATTGTCGACCGGCATTTCACAGCCCCACACCGTGCACACGTTCTGAGATTTAGAGGGGCAAGAAGGCAGGGAGGCATGTAAACCAGTAGGAAGGTAAACAGGTAAGCCAGTTTAAAGGAGTGGATCTCACAGCCCCACACCGCTCACACATACACTGCTCCGCACTGCACCGCCCGCTCATACGCTGCACCGCATAGCACCGCACGCACATACACTGCACCGCACTCACAGATACTGCAAAATGGGACCCACATGACACACAGAACTTGCATGGCATGAATCGAAACTCGCGCTGCAACGCACCCGGATGAAAAAAGAGAGCGAGGTGCCCTGCCCCTTCACCACGTTCTGAACCACCACGAAGAGGAGATGACACGAGAGATGAAACCGTTCCACCGTGTCTGGTGCAGGTGAGAGGGGCAGGAGCAGGCGGCACAACAAGAATGAGGTTACAAGATGAAACGATGAAAGAAAATTCGCGTATCCGACAATACAAACAAGAAACCATGCAGAAGCACACCTAAACACATGCACTCACCTAAGTGTGCAAACTTCTGCTACTGCCGTGCATGATGCTCACCTAAGCACGCCGGCTTGTGGATGTTTTCCTGGGTGAAGCGCTTGAAGACGTTAAAGAGCATTATCTGGGCACCCTTGTCTCCTGCTTGCTTGAGGCACCTATTACCTCTCTCACCTAGACATGCGAGCTTGTGGATGTTCTCCCGGCTGAAGCGCTTGAACACGTTGGACTTGACCTGCAATGCACCTGCTGCACCCCACCCACCAGGACATGCTGCTGCTGCTACAGCACACAACACTCACCGAGACACGCGAGCTTGTGAATATTCTCCCGACTAAAGCGCTTAAACACGTTCAACTCCACTTCCGCAAAGTTATTGGAGACTAGCAGCGCGACGAGTATGTGGTTGTGCGAGTTGATGGCCACGTTGAGCGTGAGAATGCACCTGGCGCACATGGGACTCACCTAGACAAGCAAGCTTGTGGATGTTCTCTCGGCTGAACCGCTTGAACACATTGGATTTAACCTCCGCAAAGTTATTCGAGACCAGCAGCGTGACGAGGATGTGGTTGTGCGAGTTGATGGCCACGTTGAGCGTCACGGCCTGGGTCAGCAGCACGAGCGCGTGCAGCAGGAAGCACTCTGCTCGATCCGGGCCTGCTTCTGACCCGGCTGTAGCAGCGGCGGCCACTCGAGCCGCAGTGTTGAGAGTCATCTGTAGCACGTCGCACCCCAGGCTCTGACACAGCTTGTCCATCACCTGAGGGAGGAGGGAAGAGGAAGTGGAGAAGGGTGAGGTGGGGGGCAGAATGGAAGGGAGTGTTGGGGGGACCTGTAGGCACCACCAGTCATCTGTAGCACGTCGCAGCCCAGGCTCTGACATAGCTTGTCCATAACCTGGAGTGGGGTGGGGTTGGGTGGTGTGGAGTGGGGTGGAGTGGGGTGGGGTTGGGCGGGATGCATGGGAAACGTTGAGAGTCATCTGTAGCACGTCGCACCCCAGGCTCTGGCACAGCTTGTCCATCACCTGGAGTAGGTGGAGTGGGATGGTGTGGGGTGTGGTTGGATGGGGTGGGGTGGGATTGGGTGGGAGGATACATGCTGGGGTGCCTAATAGCACGTCGCACCCCAGGCTCCGACACAGCTTGTCCATCACCTGAGGGAGGAGGGAACAGAGGTATGGCGGGGTGGGATGGGGTGGAGTTGGGTTGGGCGCCTGAGCAATGCACGTCGCAGCCCAGGCTCTGGCATAGCTTGTCCATCACCTGAGGTTGAGGAGGGAGGGCGAGTGTTGGGGGGGGGGGTGGTGGGGCTGAACAGAACGTCGCACCCCAGGCTCTGGCATAGCTTGTCCATCACCTGAGGTGGAGGATTGAACATGGGTATGGCGGGGTGGGATGTGGTGGAGTTGGGTTGGGTGCCTGAGCAATGCACGTCGCACCCCAGGCTCTGGCATAGCTTGTCCAACACCTGAGGGGGGCCAGAAGGGGGTTTGGAGGGAAATGGGGGAGGCGGGCCCACTTAATGTGGGGGGCGAACCTAATCCGGGGGGCGAACCTAAACCGGGGGGCGAACCTAATCCGGGGGGCGAACCTAATCCGGGGGGCTAACCTAATCCGGGGGGCGAACCTAATCCGGGGGGCGAACCTAATCCGGGGGGCGAACCTAATCCGGGGGGCGAACCTAATCCGGGGGGCGAACCTAATCCGGGGGGCGAACCTAGTCCGGGGGGCGAACCTAATCCGGGGGGCGAACCTAATCCGGGGGGGCGAACCTAATCCGGGGGGCGAACCTAATCCGGGGGGCGAACCTAGTCCGGGGGGCGAACCTAATCCGGGGGGCGAACCTAATCCGGGGGGCGAACCTAATCCGGGGGGCGAACCTAATCCGGGGGGCGAACCTAATCCGGGGGGCGAACCTAATCCGGGGGGCGAACCTAACCGGGGGGCGAACCTAATCCGGGGGGCGAACCTAATCCGGGGGGCGAACCTAATCCGGGGGGCGAACCTAATCCGGGGGGCGAACCTAATCCGGGGGGCGAACCTAATCCGGGGGGCGAACCTAATCCGGGGGGCGAACCTAATCCGGGGGGCGAACCTAATCCGGGGGGCGAACCTAATCCGGGGGGCGAACTTAATACGGGGGGCGAACTTAATACGGGGGGCGAACTTAATACGGGGGGCGAACCTAATCCGGGGGGCGAACCTAATCCGGGGGGCGAACCTAATCCGGGGGGCGAACCTAATCCGGGGGGCGAACCTAATCCGGGGGGCGAACCTAATCCGGGGGGCGAACCTAATCCGGGGGGCGAACCTAATCCGGGGGGCGAACCTAATCCGGGGGGCGAACCTAATCCGGGGGGCGAACCTAATCCGGGGGGCGAACCTAATCCGGGGGGGAACCTAATCCGGGGGGCGAACCTAATCCGGGGGGCGAACCTAATCCGGGGGGCGAACCTAATCCGGGGGGCGAACCCAATCCGGGGGGCGAACCCAATCCGGGGGGCGAACCCAATCCGGGGGGCGAACCCAATCCGGGGGGCGAACCCAATCCGGGGGGCGAACCCAATCCGGGGGGCGAACCTAATCCGGGGGGCGAACCTAATCCGGGGGGCGAACCTAATCCGGGGGGCGAACCTAATCCGGGGGGCGAACCTAATCCGGGGGGCGAACCTAATCCGGGGGGCGAACCTAATCCGGGGGGCGAACCTAATCCGGGGGGCGAACCTAATCCGGGGGGGCGAACCTTATCCGGGGGGCGAACCTTATCCGGGGGGCGAACCTAATCCGGGGGGCGAACCTAATCCGGGGGGCGAACCTAATCCGGGGGGCGAACCTAATCCGGGGGGCTAACCTAATCCGGGGGGCGAACCTAATCCGGGGGGCGAACTTAATCCGGTGGGCGAACTTAATCCGGGGGGCGAACTTAATCCGGGGGGCGAACCTAATCCGGGGGGCGAACCTAATCCGGGGGGCGAACCTAATCCGGGGGGCGAACCTAATCCGGGGGGCTAACCTAATCCGGGGGGCGAACCTAATCCGGGGGGCTAACCTAATCGGGGGGGCGAACCTAATTCGGGGGGCGAACTTAATCCGGTGGGCGAACTTAATCCGGGGGGCGAACTTAATCCGGGGGGCGAACCTAATCCGGGGGGCGAACCTAATCCGGGGGGCGAACCTAATCCGGGGGGCGAACCTAATCCGGGGGGCTAACCTAATCCGGGGGGCGAACCTAATCCGGGGGGCTAACCTAATCCGGGGGGCGAACCTAATCCGGGGGGCGAACTTAATCCGGTGGGCGAACGTAATCCGGGGGGCGAACCTAATGAGGGGGCGAACCTAATACGGGGGGCGAACCTAATCCGGGGGGCGAACCTAATCCGGGGGGCGAACCTAATCCGGGGGGCGAACCTAATCCGGGGGGCGAACCTAATCCGGAGGGCAAACCTAATCCGGGGGGCAAACCTAATCCGGGGGGCGAACCTAATCCGGGGGGGCGAACCTAATCCGGGGGGCGAACCTAATCCGGGGGGCGAACCTAATCCGGGGGGCGAACCTAATCCGGGGGGCGAACCTAATCCGGGGGGCGAACCTAATCCGGGGGGCGAACCTAATCCGGGGGGCGAACCTAATCCGGGGGGCGAACCTAGTCCGGGGGGCGAACCTAATCCGGGGGGCGAACCTAATCCGGGGGGCGAGCCTAATCCGGGGGGCGAACTTGATCCGGGGGGCGAACTTGATCCGGGGGGCGAACTTGATCCGGGGGGCGAACTTGATCCGGGGGGCGAACTTGATCCGGGGGGCGAACTTGATCCGGGGGGCGAACTTGATCCGGGGGGCGAACTTGATCCGGGGGGCGAACTTGATCCGGGGGGCGAACTTGATCCGGGGGGCGAACTTGATCCGGGGGGCGAACTTGATCCGGGGGGCGAACTTGATCCGGGGGGCGAACTTGATCCGGGGGGCGAACTTGATCCGGGGGGCGAACTTGATCCGGGGGGCGAACTTGATCCGGGGGGCGAACTTAATCCAGGGGGAGGGACACGGGGGAGGAGGGCTATTATTGCCTTGCCTATACTATGCACGTCGCACCGAAAGCTCTGGCATAGCTTGTCCATCACCTGGGATGGGGTGGTGTGGGGTGATGTGGGGTGCGGTTGGGTGGGGTTGTCTGGGAACCGCATACAGCCGCACAGAACCGCACACAAGCCACCTCAAGGACGTGTAGATGACTACTAGCCTGAGAATGTTCTGCTCGCGAATCCAGTGGCATATGAGGCTGCCATCACCCTGCTTGAAAGCACAGCCCCACACAACCACATTCAACCGCACAGAGCCACTCACCACCACTCACATCTCACCTCGAGAACGTTATAGATGACCACTTATTTGAGAATGTTCTGCCTGCGGATCCAGTGGTATATGAGGCTGACGTCAGCCTGCTCGGAAGCACCGCCGCATACAACCGCACTAAACCGCACACAGCCACTCATAACTCACCTCAAGAACATTATAAACGACCACGAGTTTGAGAATGTTTTGCCCGCGGATCCAGTGGTATATGAGGCTGACGTCAGCCTGCTGTAGCGCCAGCACACCGCACACGATGATGACGCCCTTGCCGACATCAGCTATATCGTCCACACCCAAGTGCAGCCGCCCCCTCCTGGCGTACAGTACAGTACAGTGAAATGAAAATCAGCGTTCTATGGACAACTCCATATAGCAAAGTGTGCATGTGGCAACGTGTGAAATCAAGTTTGGAGGCAGCAGCATGCATGCATGTAACGACACATGCAAGAAGTATCAAGAAGGGGAAAGAGATGGACCGTTTGAGAAGAAGCACAGGTGCTTCGTCTCCTAGCGCCCTGGTGGCAACTCACCAGGGGGTATTTTTGAGATGTCTCAAAAATACCCCCTCAACACGTGGTGCCCTGGTGTCAACTCACCAGGGGGCTAGAGAAACCGGAGCAGGAGCAGGAAGAGGCGGATGGGGAGGATGGCAGCAGCAGCAGGAGCACGTTAAAAGAGAAGCTATCAACTCACCAGGGGGCAAGGAGCAATCGGAGCAGGAGGAGGAAGAGACGGATGGGGAGGATGGCGAGGAGCGAGAGGAAGGAGTCGAGACACACGAGGTAGCCCATTATGATCAGCTGAGGGGTGGGGCGGGAGGGAGGGAGAGGGGGAGAATGGGAGAAGTGGAGAATGGGAGAGGGGGAGAATGGGAGAAGTGGAGAATGGGAGAGGGGGAGAATGGGAGAAGTGGAGAATGGGAGAGGGGGAGAATGGGAGAAGGGGAGAATGGGGGAGGGGGAGAATGGGAGAGGGGGAGAATGGGAGAGGGGGAGAATGGGAGAGGGGGAGAATGGGAGAAGGGGAGAATGGGAGAGGGGGAGAATGGGAGAAGGGGAGAATGGGAGAAGTGTGGAAGAGAGTTGTGTGCACACGTGCATTAAAGGAGGAGCAAGAAAAAGGAGTCGAGTTGTGAGACGCCTCAGAAGTCATGCATTATAGGACCGCTCTGAATCCCTCACCAGCTCACACCGCCACGGCACGTTGAACACGGTGCTGTAAACCTTCCTGCACGTACGCGCCCTTGATGCCTTCCCTCGCGAGGCCTCTGAGTCGACTGGAAGCTCACCGCATTACACCGCTCTGGATCCCTCAGCCTCTCACCAGCTCACACCGCCATGGCACGTTGAACATGGTGTTGTAAACCTTCTCTCTCCTCACGTCCGCGCCCTTGCACCCTTGTCTTTCCCCACACTGAACTCAACCTTCTCACCGCTTTACACCGCTCTGGATCCCTCACCAGCTCACACCGCCACGACACGTTGAACATGGTGTTATAAACCTTCTCCCTCCTCGCGTCCGTGCCCTTGCCACCCTACCTCTCCTCACAAAAGTACAACCTCTCACCGCTTTACACCGCTCTACACCCCTCACCAGTTCACAGCGCCATGGCACGTTGAACATGGTGTTGTAAACCTTCTCCCTCCTCACATCCGCGCCCTTGCCGCCCTCTTTTGCTGCTCCGTCCCTCCCCACCACCTCCTTCCACAGATACGACAAGGCAGAGCCGTCCACCACAAGAGCTGGGGGGAACCGGGGGAGTGGAGTGGAACAGAAATGGGTCAGGCTGGTAATAAGGGTGTGGGGTGGGTGCGGGGGGAGGGGATGCGGGGAGAACGGGAGAACGAGAGTGGGAGAAGGAAAAGGTAAAGGGATGTGAGGAGGTAAACCGGGAAGAGGAGGAAGGCAAAACCATGGAGGGGAACCATTCTCCAGCACAAGAGTAAAACATCCATAGCTCCCACTCCATCCCGCTCCATCCCACTCCATCCCACTCCATCCCACTCCATCCCCAAATGTTCCACAAAACCCCATCCATCACCAGAGAAGCTCTAGCCTCCTACCAGATTTATCCAAGCCGTGTGCAGGGGGATGGGCCGCTACCCACTGCTTCAGCTTCGGCGTGTCCGAACCTGATGCCGAGCCTGACGGCTGCCGCTGCAGTCCCGAACCACCAATTATGCTAGCCCCATCAGACCCCCCTCCTGATGGCGAATTCACTCCCCAGCCCTTTCCCGAGCCTTGCCGTTGCAATGTGGCTGCCGAGCCTGTCCCCGAACCTGTCCCGGCAGTCTGCTTCGGCGGCGTTTCCCAAAGCAGCTCGGCAGCAGCGGCCGCTACAGCCGCGGCTGCAGCAGCGCGGGGCGACGGGCACGCTGGGGTGTTTTCCCCTGAAAATGTCGTGCTTATGGATAAACTAATCGGGCGAGGGGGTTTTTGAGGGGTATCGAGGTGAATGTTGGATGGCCGCGGGGAACAGGGGGTGGATGGGCGGGAGGTGCGCGGGACCAATTCGGGGGTTGTCGCGGCGGAGCTGGCGGAAGCGCTGATGGCGGAGACATTATTGGCGGAAGCACTACTGGCGGAAGCACCAGAGGCAGAAACCGCGCCGACAGCGGCGGAAGAAATGGCGGATGCGATCGGGGGAACTCCGCTACTAGCCCTTTCGTGATGTGCATTCTTTCTCGCCACATCAGCTGACGCGTCAGCTGTCATGTCAGCTGCCACGTGTCCACTCCCTGCACGGTCGGCCGCGGTGGTGGTAACAGTCGCTCTGTCTCGTAGCTTCGCGGATTCCTCTAGTAACGTCATTGAATTCGGTTTGGCGAAATCATCGACAGGTGGAAGTAACGCCACGTGAAGCGCTTCCGACTACCGAACGTATACTTTAGGAACATTGGTAGTTCATATTACAATGCTTGTCTGACACGTTGTGATAGACTGCCAATGTGAATTTGCTAGAAATAACCTGCTAACCTGCTAACCTACGGGCATGGAGCATCGGTATTGGTAAGCTTGAGCATGCTCAGATGAATCACCCACGCACCACACGCCTTCGGCGTGAAGTGATTCTGTGGATGTGAATTTGGGACCATCGGCGGAAGTTTTGCCCGAATTTAGGACAGGGGGAGCTCGCGCAGAGCGCAGGGTGCAGCAGCGCGGGGAACTACGCGCTGCGCTTTGGGTGCTGCGCAGAGGGAAGCGGGAAAATGGCGGAGTGCGCAGACTGCTTCAGGCGGAATATGTGGGGTGCGGGATGTGATTGGCGAAGGGAAACATTCGCGAACAAAGCCCGATAATGTATTGTTTTGCCAAACTACTTGAGCCATTTCCTCACCGACCTAGCGATAACAGTGTACAAATAATAAGCTTAATCCTAGTTTACTACAAGGCAACAATTCTGTTCCTATCGCGTCAGCTTCAGTCGAGCTCATGTGCATTTTCAAGGTTTCGAATCTAGGCTGGCAGCGAGGCAGACACGAGGCTGCAGTTCCCAAGGTTTTTCTGAACAAGCTACCCACCCGTGTGATGGGTGAGGGAGCAGCAGAAGCAAGCAGCAAGGAGCTTCAAATCTGGGCTTTGAGGTTCTCAGCATCTCAAGTCAGGATCACGTGGTGTTTTAGGTGGTAGAAGTGGTAATGCGCATGGCGTAGCGAGTTATCGTAGCTCAGTGCGCTTAGTCTTCGCTATGGTTGATAGGTAATAAGTTCTGAATCGTTGGAAGCGGCGGGATCGTTTAAGCCGCATACGTCATCGTCATCGTCATTTGACTTTCGTGCTTTCTTAGATTGGCGTGAGCTGTTTGGCTGACGTTCTTGGATCGGTCAATGATCAGTCTACCCGTTTAAGCCCAAGCCTCGTGCGGCATCGCATATATTCTGTGGTTACTCTCTTCTGGATAGAGAAGCATGCATCCGCGGAAAATCCCCCCTTCCCCGTGGGATCCCCATCCCAAGCCGGTCAGATCCGCCAGTCTCACCTTCCGCGCGCCTCACGTCCCCCACTCGCGGAGTGCGCCTTCCATTCCGCCGTACCCTTCCGCATCCGCGTATTCCTCCGCTCCCCCGTACCCTCCTCATCCGTACTCGTCCGCTTCCCCGTATCATCCCCCTCACCAGTACGCTTCTGCTGCACCTTACGCTTCCGCTCTCCCTTACTCTTCCGCTCCGCCATACGCTTCCGCTTCCGCCTACCCCTCCGCCTCCCCGTATGCGCCTTCCGCGCCCTCGTTCCCCCCCGCACCTCAGCGGCGCGCATCTTCCCCCTCACCGCCCGGGAGAAATTTCGTCATCCGGTTCACGTGCGACGATGACGACGACGACGGCGATGGCGACGGCGACGACATTGCTGATGCCAGTCGCGAAGCAGGTGGTAACCCGAACATTGACATTTCGAGCAGCAGATCGTTACCGCTGGCCAGGCGAGCCTCTCCAACCGCGATCCTTTCACCCGGGAGCGGGGCGTCAGGAGGAGGAGGGGGCGGCGGAACAACCTCCGCCGTTGCCCTTCCGCCAAGACCCGCGAGTGCGCCTGGATCTTCCACCGGTCGAACGTCTTTTTCTCTCCCAACCGCTGCGCAAGGTCCCGCTTCCGCTTCCTCTTCCGCCACCGCTTCCGCTTCCCCGCTCTCGCTTCCCTCTGGCGCGAGCAAGTCCACGGTTTGGACTGCAGGTGGCGCTGCCGCGCAAACCCGCGGAAGACAGACGGCGGCTGGGGTAGTTGCGCGCGCAGCTTCCGCGCGAGCACTGGGGCGCTCGCCGCCTTCCGTCCCCCTTCCCCCAGCGGCTGCTGCTGGCGGATCTACCGCGGCGGCGGCTGGCGGGAGCTCTGGCGGAGCAGGCGGGAGTGACGGCGGAGCTTCCACGCAGTTTTTGAAGCAAATTGCGCTCATGCGCGAGCAGATCGCGGCTTTTGAGCGCAGGGGGGAAGGCGGGAGCTCGGGGAACTTGGTTGAGGCAGGCGGGGGACAGTGTCCGGATGCGCCTAAGGAAGGCGCAGAGCCAAGCAGCGGCGGAAACGCCAGTAGCGCTGGCGCAAGCGGGGCTGGCGCGAGTGGGGCTGGCGCGAGTGGGGCTGGCGCGAGTGGGGTTGGCGCAAGTGGGGCTGGCGTCAGTGCTCTTGGGGGCAGCAAAGGAGAGAAGTCTTCCAAGGAACCAAAGCAAGCTGCAGCTCCGGCTGTAGCAGCGCGGGGATCAACCACACCGGCAGCAAAGACGGCTGTAGCACCGGCACTGGCAAAGACTTCTGTAGCTGCGCCGGTAGAAGCGCAGCCAGCGCCAAAGGCGGCTGTAGCCGCAGCGCCACCTGCGGCTCCAGCAGCACCTCCAGCAGCGGCAGCAGCGCAGCCAGTAGCAAAGCCCGCTGCACCGGCTGCTACAGGCGCAGCAGCTGCAGCTGTAGCAGAGGCTTCTGCTGACGTCCCAGCACGACCAGCAGCTGTAGCAGTGGCTCCTGCTGACGTCCCAGCAGAAAAGGAAAGGGCTGGAACTCCGCTTGCTACAGCTGCTGCTGCTCCTAGTACTACCGTCTCTAGCCCCTCTCGCGCTCCCCGTTCCGCCACTCCTCCTCTCGCCCCTCCGCGTTCCTTCACCCCACCTGTTGTCCCTCCCCGCTCCTTCACTCCGCCTGTCAACTCCCCGCGTTCCTTCACCCCCCCTGTCAACTCCCCCCGTTCCGCCACCTCCGCGCTTATCCCCCCTCCCCCCGTGCCCCCCTCTCTGGCTCGTTCCCGGTCCGCCACTCCTCCCGTGCCTCCCCGCACAACCTTTCCCTCGCTCGCTGCTGCAGCAGCAGCAACAGCCGGAGCAGCAGCAGCAGGGGCAGCAGGAGCAGCAGCAGCAGGAGCAACAGCAGCAGGAGCAGCGGCAGCAGGGGCACCAGCAGCAGCTGCAGCGGCTGTGTCACCTGTACCCGTGGTGGCAGAATCAGCGGCTGTGGCACCCTCAGGAGATATTCCAGGTGTTTCCCGGTCCAGGCTTTCAATATCGGCGGCACTTAAGCCGAATGAAGGAGCACCAGGTGCTGCTGAGAAGGCAAGTGGGGAAGGAGGAGTAGCAGCAGCAGGAGGAGGAGTAGCAGCAGCAGGAGGAGGAGTAGCAGCAGCAGGAGCATGTGGATTAGCAGGGAGGGCACCAGCTACCGCCCTAGAAGCATCTGCTGCTGGTGCTTCGTCACGTGCGGCTCGACAGGGCGGCGTTTCTCGTCCTGTAGCGGTCAGAGGCGGAACGGCGCGGTCGAGAGGAGGAGCAAGAGGGCTAGGTCAGGGGCGAGCGGGAGCGGGAGCGGGAGCGGGAGCGGGAGCGGGAGCGGGAGCGGGAGCGGGAGAGCAAAGCAGTGGGCTGCTGAAGCGGGGGTTGAGCTGGAACGAACCGATCATGCTAGATGACGATGATGAGGATGAGGATGAAGATGGAACAATTATGCTAGATAGTGATGGTGGTGCTGCTGGTGGTGGTGGTGCTGGCGGTGGTGCTGTTGATGATGATGCTGCTGGTGGTGGCAATAACGGGGTTGCTTCGGTGAGTCGGATTGTCACTCAAATGCAAAATCCTGAGGTGCTATTTTTTTTTCCACGGTTTGATAGATCTGGTCGGGTGAGTGGGTAGGGGATTACCCGTCAATCGCGTATCGACAGGCGTTGTTTAGTGCGCCTGTTGTGCGTGAGATGATAGCAATGGTGAAGGGGCGCGAGCTCATGTGATTGTGGCTGGGTGAACACTCGAGAGCAACAGAGAGGATTGTTCAAACGCATGGAATGGAGCGTGATGATACTCAAGTGTTCAAACGTCAAAGAGTGCGCCTGTTTTGCGTTGTTTTGAGATGTCTCAAAACACCGTTGGAGAGGCTGATGATGATGATGGCGGTGGAGGGGTTGTCGTGCACATGTGAACGTGGCCGGATTGGTGAGAGCAAAGGAGGGAGAGAGGGTAGGGATGTGTGGAAACGGGAGGCGAGTCAGTAGTAGATTAATGGTCTGATTCTGTTTGAAAAATGGTCTGATTGTCAGAAAATAGGTAGAATAGTGTTTTCAAGGGCAAGTTTCTGTGCCTCCTTGCTGCTCTTTCTCCCTTTCCATGGCATTGATTTCCTTCCCATGCCATCACCCCCGTGCCATCACCCCCATGCCATCACCCATGCCATCACCCCCATGCCATCACCCCCATGCCATCACCCCCATGCCATCACCCCCATGCCATGCCATCACCCCCATGCCATGCCATCACCCCCATGCCATCACCCCCATGCCATCACCCCCATGCCATCACCCCCAGGCCATCACCCCCATGCCATCACCCCCATGCCATGCCATCACCCCCATGCCATGCCATCATCCTCTTCTCTTCCCATGCCATCATCCTCTTCTCTTCCCATGCCATCATCCTCTTCTCTTCCCATGCCATCATCCTCTTCTCTTCCCATGCCATCATCCTCTTCTCTTCCCATGCCATCGATTCCCTTCCCTGCAATGCGATCGTCTCTCTCCGTGCCGGATTCTTCAGGACTCACCAGAAGATGTGAAGCCAGTGCTCGCTGGTGGCAGTGCTGCTGCTGCTTTTGTGGCGCCTAAAAAAAGCCATCGTTTTCCCTTCGATGCAATTGTCTCTCTCCTTGCTGAATTTGTCAGGACTCCCCAAAAGACGTGAAGCCCATGCACGCTGAGGTCAGCAAGAAGACTGCTGAGGTCAGCAAGCCGGCTGCTGAGGTCAGCAAGCAGACTGCTGATGTCAGCAAGCAGACTGCTGATGTCATCAAGCCTGCTGAGGTCAGCAAGCTGACTGCTGAGGTCAGCAAGAATGCTGAGGTTGGCAAGCAGACTGCTGAGGTCAGCAAGCAGACTGCTGAGGTCAGCAAGCCGACTCCTGAGGTCAGCAAGCCGACTGCTGAGGTCAGCAAGCAGAACGCTGAGGTCAACAAGCAGACTGCTGAGGTCAGCAAGCAGACTGCTGAGGTCAGCAAGCAGAACGCTGAGGTTGGCATTGGCAATGCTGGTGGTGCTGGTAGTGATGGCATGGGCACCGGCGCCGACCCGGACAGTGGCGAGGACATGGGCGATGCTGTGGCTGGCAATTCGGGTGGTGGTGGTAGCGATGGCATTACTACCAGTGCTGATCGTGACAGTGGCGAGGACATGGAGATAGACTCCATGGATGATGATGCTGCTGCTGGTAGTGGTGGTGCTGCTGCTGGTGCTTATAATGGTGCTCGTGGTGCTTATAACGGTAGTGATGGTGGTGAGGGGCGCGAGTACGATCCATTTGCAGATGCTGTAGGAGGCTGGGAGGTTGACTACAGGCAAGGTGTGACTGTAGCGGGGGGTGGGGTTATCCCAGGGGGTGGTATTGCAGCAGAGGCGCAGTCGGTGATTGCAGAGGCTCTTGCTGCGGCAGCAGCAGAGGCAGCAGCGGCTGGAGCAGCAGGAGCGACTGCAGCAGCAGAAGCAGCTGTAGGAAAAGAGGCAACATCAGGAGCAGCAGTGCAGGTCTCGTCTGGGACCGTGGGAGTTGAAGCAGGAGCAGGAGCAGCTGGAACAGCTGGCTTTGGGGCAGCAGCAGGAGGCGAAACAGCAGCACAGGCGTCACCTGCAAGTGCGGGGGTAAAGGCAGCAGTGCAGGTCTCGTCTGGGACCGTGGGAGTTGAAGCAGCAGCAGTGCGAATTTCACCTGGGACTGGGGTAGAGGCGGCATGTGTGCAAGCGTCACCTGGGGCTGTGGGGACGGTAGCAGGCGTGCAGGCGTCACCACCACAGATAGGAGTGGAGACAGCAGCAGTGCGAATTTCACCAGGGACTGGGGTAGAGGCAGCGCTGGAGGCGGATGGGGCGTGGGCGGGGCTGGCGAGTGTGTGGCACGGGGCAGGGGGTTTCTCGTTCGGCGGGTGGCTGGAGGAGGATCAGGTGGAGGGGAGAGAGAAGGGCGCGCACACACAGGGTGCGAGAGCGGAGAGTGCGAGGGTGCAGGGTGTAAGAGATGATCCTGTTAGAACGGATTTGCAAGCCCCTCCTCATTCCCTGCCTTCTCCCTCCATTCTCGCCTCTCAACCCCTTCCGCCACCTCGCCTCCCAGCCTCTCCCCCTCCCCCTCCCCCTCCCCCTCCCCCTCCCCCTCCCCTTCCATCTCATCCGCCCCCGCCGCCCGCCCCACCCCCTCCGTCTGATCCTCCTCCTCCTCCCCCTTCCCTCCCTCCGTACTCCGCGCCGGGAAATGCTCCTGCTGCAGCAGATGCACGCGCACATGCACATGTGCAGGCACAGACGCATGCACATACACTTCCACATGCACATGCACCTGCAGCGGAACATATGGCTCCAGCCCACCACAGCCATGGCATGTCCCATCTGCAGCAACACGCCCATGCGCACATGCCACCCACAACCGCCCCTCTTCCAACCACCCGTTCCCCAGCCGCCCCTCTCCCAACCAGCCCTCCCCTATCCGCCCCTCTCCCAGCCGCCTCTCTCCCAACCGTCCCTCACCCAACTTCCTCTCCAGCCTCCCCTCTTCCAACTTCCCCTTTCTCAAATGCCCCTCTCTCCACCCCGCCTCGCTCTGAACCTCTACCCATGCGCCCCCCTTTCTCTGGCTTGGCCTTGCAAGGGGTTTGGACAGAGCAAAAGGTTTTTTACGGGCAGGTCGGGCAGGGGGTCACGGGCAGGCAGGAGGCTTTTACTGGGCAGGGTGGATGGCTGACAGAGGGGAATTCCCCTGGGCAGGGGAATTTGGGAGCTCAAGCAGGGGAAGGAGGTTTGGGTGGGCAGGTTGGGGCGAGCGGGCGGCAGGTTTTGGAGCTTCTGTGGAGGGAGGAGGAGGAGATGGAGGCGGCATTAGAGGAGGAGAGGCAGAGGAGGAGGGAGTGTGAGGAGGAGGAGGCGAGGCTTAGGAGGGGTTTGAGGCAGATAGAGCGGCGATTGGCTCTGTCGAATCAACGGTGTGCAGCGCTCCAGCACAGACGGACGCAGATCGCAGGGCGGATAGAAGCTGCTGGGGTTGGTCTGGATTTGGGGAGTGGGGAAGTGGGTGCGGTTGGGGGGACGAATGTGGGTGTGGGGTTGGGTGGGATGGGCAGAGATGCGGTGATTGGTGCGCTTGTGCCTGTTGCTGCTATATCTGCTGCTGCGGTTTCCCCTCCTGTTCCTGCCCCTGCCCCTGTCCCTTCTGTTCCGGCTGCTGCTGCTGAAGCTGCCTATTCATCTGGAGTTTCCCCTTTTGCTCCAACCTCTGCTGCTGCTGAAGCTGCCACTGCTGCTGTCACTGCTGCTGTCCCTGCTGCTGCAGCTGTCTCTGCTGGTACTCCAGGTTCAGCTCGCGTTCTCGTTGGCCCTCCGGTCACTGCTGCTCCTACTCCTGCTCCTCCTTCTATCCCCGCTGCTGCTGCTCCTGCTCCTGCCGCTGCTCCTCCTTCTATCACTGCTGCTGCTGCTCCTGCTGCTGATAGGGGCAACACTTGCACCACCCTCGCCCGTGACACATGGAGGCAGTCCCAGTGGGGTGAGGGCGCATCAGGGGGAGGTGTATCCGGGGGAGTCGTACCTGGGGGAGGTGTATCAGGGGGAGGTGTATCTGGAGGAGTCACATACCAGGCTGGCGCCATCGTCAGAGGGATAGGCGAGGAGAGGGGAGTTGGAGGGGAGCATAGATGGTTGAGAGTGAAGAGGGAGAGGGAGGAGATGGGTGAAGGGGAAGATGGGAGGAGGGTGGCTAGGAGAGAGGAGGAATTTAGACAGGAGGAGAGGGAGAGAGTGAGGGAGAGGGAGAGGGAAAAGGAGAGGGAAAAGGAGAGGGAGAGAGTGAGGGAGAGGGAGAGGGAAAAGGAGAGGGAAAAGGAGAGGGAGAGAGTGAGGGAGAGGGAGAGGGAAAAGGAGAGGGAGAGAGAGAGGGAGAGGGAGAGGGAGAGGGAAAAGGAGAGGGAGGGATTGAGGGAGAGGGAGAGAGAGAGGGTGAGGGAAAAGGAGAGGGAGGTGAGGGAGAGGGGAAAGCAGAGGGAGAGGGAGGAGGGATCTGGGAGGGGCAGAGAGGAGGAGAGGAGGGAGAGAGCCACGCCTGTGCAGGAGATGAGTGCTACAGCTGGGGCTATTGGCAGCCCAGAAAGGATAGCTATAGCAGGCGCCTTGGCTACAACCGCTGCAGCTGCTGCTACAGCTGGCGCTCGTGCTGCTGCTGTGGTTCCTGCCAGTGCTGGTGGTGCAGTGGCTGCGGCTGTGGTGCCTGCCAGTGCTGGTGGTGCAGTGGCTGCGGCTGTGGTGCCTGCCAATGCTAGCGGAGGTGGTGTTGCTGCTGCTGTGGTCCCTGCCAATGCTGGCGGTGCTGTGGCTGCTGCTGCAGTAGCAACAGGCAGCATCGAGGAAGCAGAAGTGCTAAGGCGAGCAGAGGTGATCCGACAGAGGGCCGCTGTTGCTGAGTCTGCTAGTAAAGCGGATGATGCTGAAGTGATGCACAGGGCCCAGGTGTTGAGGCAGAGGCTTGTGTCTGAGTATGCTAGGAAGAACGCTCAGCTGGTGAGGCAAGGATCAGCTAAAGGCCTAAAGGGTGATAACGGGTCTGCTGGTAACGAGGATGTTGAAGGGAGGGCAATGGGTACAGGTGCTGCTACTGCTGCTGCTGTTGCCGCTACAGTTATGGCTGGTGCTGCTGCTGCCACCACTGCAGGTGCTAGTGGTGATGGGTCTGCAACGCCAGCTGATGCTGTTGCGGCTGCTGCTACAACTGGAGCAGCTGTTACCAATGCCCCGCCTGTTGCTGCGAGTGCTGTTACAACTGGTGCCGCTACAAGCGGTGCTGCTACTGCAGCCACAGCTGCTGCGGAGACTGCTACAGCCTCTGCGGCTACAGCTGCCGACGCAGCTACAGGCGGCAGTGCGGGTGACGATGCGGCAGAGGTGATGAGGCGAGCACAGGTGATCCGCCAAAGGCTTCTGGCACAGCTGGCGGCCAAGGGTGGGGCGGGCGCTGGGAAGGACGCGAGTGGGGCGGGCAGGGAAGGGGCGGGCAGAGGAGCAGCTACTGCAGGGGTGGAAGGGAGTGGGGCGGGCAGGGGAGGGGTTGGAGCAGGGAGAGGAGGTAGTAAGGCGGGCAGAGGAGGGATTGGGGCAGGCAGAGGGGTGGTGGCAGGTGGGAGAGGGGTTGTTGTGGCAGGTGCAGGGAAGGGAATATCTGCTGCTGCTGTTGTTCGTCCTGCAGCTGGTGCTGCTGGTGGTGGTGCTGGTAATGGTGCTGCTGCCACTCCTGCCACTCCGGCCGCTCCTGCCACTGCCACTGCCAGTGCCAACCCGTCTGCTTCTGTTGCAGCTAATGTGTCTGTCAGTAGTCCAACAAGAGCAAGGGATGCAGTGGGAGGGCGAGGTGGGAGCAGTCCGGGTTTGAGCAGCCCCAGCAGGAGCAGTATAGGTGGCAGGATTGGCATGGGTGAGAAGGATGTGCGGGGCAGGGGTGATGAGGAGAGGGATGGGAACGGGAGGGGTTTTGGGGGAGAGAAGGTGGTGGAGAGAAGGCTTCAGGTGTCTATTCAGGTGAAAGTGGAAGCTCATGAGGAAGCAGCTGGCAGAGTTGTGACGTCAGGTGCACCAGCAGTGACATCAGGCGCAGGGAGAGGAGTGATATCAGGCGCAGGGAGACTGGTAGCAGCAGCGCCGCCAGCAGCAGCACCGCCAGCAGCAGCACCGCCAGCAGCAGCAGCAGCGGCAAGAGCACCGGGGTGGTCAAGAGGAGGAGGAGCAGAAGTGATGAGGCAGGGGGCAGGTGAGACAGAGGCGATGAAAATAGATGCTCCAGCAGATGGAGGTGCTAGCATGACAGCAGCTGAAGGAGCTGCAGCTGTGGCAGCAGCAGGGGCAGTTGCAGAAGCAGCAGGGAAAAGCCAGGCCACCCCAGGGATGCAGATGAAAGGGAGTGCTGCTAGTGACGGTGGGTTGGAACGAGATGTGAGGAAGGAGGTGGAGGGGAGGGAGAAGGATAAGTCAGGGGAGCAGGGGAAGGAGAATGAGAAGCAGAGGGAACAGCAGAAGGAGAAGGAGAGGCAGAGGGAACAGCAGAAGGAGAAGGAGAGGCAGAGGGAACAGCAGAAGGAGAAGGAGAAGCAGAGGGAGCAGCAGAAGGAGAAGGAGAAGGAGAAGGAGAAGGAGAAGGAGAAGGAGAAGCAGAGGGAGCAGCAGAAGGAGAAGGAGAAGCAGAGGGAACAGCAGAAGGAGATTGAGAAGCAGAGGGAGCAGGAGAAGGAGAAGGAGAGGCAGAGGGAACAGCAGAAGGAGAAGGAGAAGCAGAGGGAACAGCAGAAGGAGATTGAGAAGCAGAGGGAGCAGCAGAAGGAGAAGGAGAAGCAGAGGGAACAGCAGAAGGAGAAGGAGAAGCAGATGGAACAGCAGAAGGAGAAGGAGAAGCAGAGGGAACAGCAGAAGGAGATTGAGAAGCAGAGGGAGCAGCAGAAGGAGAAGGAGAAGCAGAGGGAACAGCAGAAGGAGAAGGAGAAGCAGATGGAACAGCAGAAGGAGCAAGAGAAGCAAAGGGAGCAGGGAAGGAAGAGGAAGGTGCAGGAGCAGCAAGGCACGCAGGAGAAGGAGCAGGAGGATCAGCTGGAAGGGCAGGAGAGACAAGGCGGAGAGCCGCGTGAAGTAGTGAAACGGGGTGAATGTGCGGAGCAGCGTAAAGTAATGAAACGGGGTGAATGTGCAAGTGGGAGAAGTGTGGAAGGAGTAAGGGACATCCCTTCTGTCAGTGAAGTGGGTAAGGAGAATGGGGCAGAGGAGAAGAGTGGAGAGGAGAAGAGTGGAGAGGAGAAGAGGCAGGGGAAGGAGACGAGGAGAGGAGGGGTGTTGGGAAGGGTAAAAGAGGAGGAGGGGCAGGGAGGAGAGAGTGCGGTTGCAGATTTGAAACACGGGAAGAGGGTGGGTGAGATTACGGCTGGTGCCTTGGGGCAAGGGAAGAGGCGACGAGGTGAAGAGGAGGATAGGGAGAGACGAGTGAGGGAAAGGGTGGAGGAGGATAGGCGGAGAGAGGAGGGGAGGAGACGAGAGGACGGGGGAAGGAGGGAGGAGGTGGGGAGGAGAGAGGATGGGGGAAGGAGGGAGGAGCGGGGATGGGGAGAGGAGAGAGTCAGGAGGGAGGAAGGGGGAGGGAGGGAGGAGGGTAGGAGGAGAGACGAGAGAGAAAGGAGTGAGGAGTGGCGGAGGAGGGAGGAGGGTACTAGGAGAGAGGAGGGTAGGAGGAGAGAAGAGGACGGGATGAGGGAGGAGCATATGCATAAGGGAGGAGGCAGTAGGGAGAGTGGTAAGAACGAGGAAGCAAAGGGGAAGAAGAGAGAAGAGGGTGGGATGAGGGACGAGCACATGCACGAGGGAGGAGGCAGGAGGGAGAGTGGTAAGAAAGAGGCGGTGAAAGGGAAGAAGGGGGGGGTGGAGGGGGGTGAGACTGGGGAAGGCACACAAGCGAGGGTGCGGGTCCGGGTGAGAGCGAGAGGAGTGTTGGAGGGAGGGGCGAGGGAGAGGAGTGTGGATGAGTATGAGAGCCCGCTGGTGATGTTGCGGTGCTACCGGCACTCCCCCGTGTTCATGGCCCGATGGGGGGCTGTGGTTGAGTGCGGTAAGGAGGGGCAGGAGGAGGAGGGGAAGGAGGGGAAGGAGGAGGGGCAGGGGAGGCAGCAGGAAGGGAAGGAAGAGAAGGAAAGGAAGGAGGGGGAGGAGGGACACAGGGTGGATCAGGGGCAGAGTCAACAGCAGCAGCTGCAGCTGCAGCAGCCGGAGCGAGGTCCATCACCCCATCCGCCCCCTTCCCCACTTTCCTCTCAGGCCTTGCGTGTCCACGAGGCTTCGATCGATCCGCACCGTGTGATCTGCACCGCCCAGCTGCGCGGCCAATGCGTGGACGCCAAGTGTCGCCTGCAGCACCTGCTGCCCCACCCTGTGCGCTTTGCCCCTGTGATCAGGGTAGTGCGGGACGATGCTGAAAGGGTTGCTGATAACGTGCATGCAGAGGCAGTGGCAGGAGCAGCAGCAACAGCAGCAACAGCAGCAGCAGAAGTGGGGGGAGCAGGTGCTGAAGGAATAGAGAGGGCGGCAGAAGCAGCAGAGAGTGTTAAATCACCAGCAGGGGCCAGCCAAGAAGCAGATCCGTTACAAGCTGATGCAATACAAGGGTGGTCTGCGTTAGAAGGAAGCCACTCAGTGGTCTCGCACCTCCGAGCATCTATCTTAAAGCCCTACCTTCAACCCCACCACCTTATCCCATTGCCTGGTAAGAAACGCCAGCTTCCCCCCTCCCCTGCCTTTCCCCCGTATCTCCTCCCAGTCCCTTTTCCGAAAGACACTTGGCTGCCCAGCAAACATATCACATACACCCCGATCTGCCCGGAAACGCCTCTCGGCGAATCAGGGCTCGGGGGGAAGAAGCCCCGAAAGGTTTTATCGGAGGTTTTGGCTTCGGCTGCTGAAGTGTCTTTTGCTTCAGCTGCTGCTGCTAGGAGTGGGGGGGTTGGGGGGAGATGGGGAGGAGGAGGAGGGGAAGGAGCAGGAAGAGGAGCAGGAGTGGGAGTAGAGGGAGGGTGGGGAGCAGCAGAGGTGGGAGCGAGTGGGGAGAAGGGGAGTAAGGAGGGAGGGAAGGGAGATGAGGGAGGGAAGATTGGTAAGGGGGGCAGGATAAGTGTGTGGGATAGGGTCAGTGGTATGGAGGGGGTTTTTGGAGAAACGAGGGGGAGTGGGGGTGAGAGGGAGTGTGAGGGTGTGAGAGAGGGAGTGAGAGAGGGAGTGAGGGAGGAAGAGAGGTTGCCACTGCACCTTCCCCTCTCTCTGCTCCTTTCTGGAACGGTGGATTTCTGGGGCGGTGAAAGCTGTCCTGTGATTGGTGAGAGGTGCCACGTGGAGCACTCCTATTGGTCAAGAAAAGTGCGGGAGTGGGAGAAGAGGGGGCGTGTGGAAGGGGAGGGGGCGGCTGAGGGGGTTACTGTGGAAGAGGGAGAGGAGGAAGAGGGAGAGGAGGGAGAGGAAAGGAAGCAGGACAGGGACGAAAAGGGGAAGGCGGAGAAGGGGAAGGGGCAGGAAGAGGAGGAAGGGAAAAGGAAGGGGAAGGAAGAGGAGAAGGGAGAAGCGGGGAGAAAGAGGAACGAGGAATGTAAACGAGGAACGAGGAACGAGGGGGAGTCAGGGGGAAGGAGAGACTCAAGTACAGACGTGGCGGGGAGATCCGTGTCGAAAGAGCAAGAAGACAAGACAGCTTCTCACTCCCCCTACCTCTCGCCTCTCTCTCACTCTGACCTCGCACTCCTCTTTGCCTTCAAGCAGTTGCCCCTGCTGCCCATGCCCAGCCATACCCCGTCCTTTATCAACCTGAATCGCATCGACCCGGCGCTCAAGGGATCGGGACGCCTGCTCTTCGCTGCGTGTGCGCCCGAACCGACCGCTGCCACTTTGGAAACTGTAAGTCTTTGCCTTGAAGCAGTTGCCCCTGCTGCCCATGCCAGCCCAGCCCCTGTCCTTTATCCACCTGAATCGCATCGACCCGTCTCTCAAGGGAATGGGACGGCTGCTCTATGCTGTCTGTGCGCCGGAACCCACTGCTGCCACCCTGGAAACAGTAAGTCTTTGCCCATGGCGGGCCAGCCCCTGTCATTCATCCACCTGAGTCAGAAACTGTAAGTCTTTGCCTTGAAGCAGTTACCCCTGCTGCCCATGCCCGGCAGCTCCGGTCGGTCGGATAGACCCGGCGCTGAAGGGAATGGGGCGGCTGCTCTATGCTGTCTGTGCGCCGGAACCAACCGCTGCCACTTTTGAAACGGTGAGTCGTTATTCCCGCTTGTACCTCCCAGGCTCAGCTCAGCTGCCCATGCCAGGCCAGCCCCTGGGCTGGGCTTTATCCACCTGAATCGGATCGACCCGTCTCTCAAGGGAGTGGGGCGGCTGCTCTTTGCTGACTTTTGAGTCGACTCAAAAGTCACCTCTGAAGGGAATGGGGCGGCTGCTCTTTGCTGACTTTTGAGTCGACTCAAAAGTCACCTCTGAAGGGAATGGGGCGGCTGCTCTTTGCTGCCTGTGCGCCGGAACCCACTGCTGCCACTTTGGAAACGGTGAGTCGTTATTCCCGCTTGTACCCCCAGGCTCAGCTCAGCTGCCCATGCCAGGCAGCACCAGCAAGTGGCACGTCTCTTTTTGCCTCTCCACCCTCCTCTCCTTGCTGCTGCACCTGCCGCGGCTCTGCTTCCGCGTGTGCCTCTCCTCTCCCCCTCACACTCACACGCCCTTTCCTGTGTCCCATCATACCCGTCCCTCCCCCCCCTCTCAGGTTATCGCCTCGCTAGCGCATTTCCTGTACCACCAGCCGGGCAGCAGCAGCAGCAGGTTTTTATGTTGACTCAACAGTCACCCCTGCCTTCGTCCCAACACACCCATACTCCCTCCCCTTCAGGTCATCGCCTCACTAGCGCATTTCCTGTACCACCAGCCGGGCAGCACCACCACGTGGCACGTCTTGTTCCGCCTCTTCGCCCTGCTCTCCTCGCTGCTGCACCTGCCAATGCTTTACTTCCAAATGCCCCTCCTCCCCCCCTCACACGCCCCCTCCTGTGCCCTGACTTGCCTGTCCCACCCTCCCTTGCAGGTCATCGCCTCACTCGCGCATTTCCTGTACCACCAGCCGGGCAGCAGCAGCACGTGGCACGTCTTCTTCCGCCTCTTCGCCCTGCTCCCCGCGCTGCTGCACCTGCCGTGGCTCTACTGCATGGCGCGGCTTCGCAGGGAGGTCGAAGTGAAGGAGCAGATGGGCGCGCTCGTGCAGTGCTGTGTGAGTGGGTGTTGGGTGTGTGTGTGTGTGGGGGGGTGATCGTGAAAGGGTATGTGTGGGTTGGTTGCTGCTGCACCTGCCGTGGCTCTACTGCATGGCGCGGCTTCGCAGGGAGGTTGAAGTCAAGGAGCAGATGGCAGCGCTGCTGCAGTGCTGTGTGAGTGGGTGGGGGGAGGGGTAGAAAGGGGTTGGGGCCTGCTGTGTGAGTGGGTGTTGGGTGTGTGTGCGTGGGCGATCGTGAAAGGGTATGTGTGGGTTGGTTGCTGCTGCACCTGCCGTGGCTCTACTGCATGGCGCGCATTCGGAGGGAGTTTGAAGTCAAGGAGCAGATGGCAGCCCTGGTGCAGTGCTGTGTGAGTGGGTGGTGTGGTGATGGGTGGTGCAGTGCTGTGTGGGTTGACTTTTGAGTCGACTCAAAACTCAAAAGTCAGTGCTGTGTGAGTGGGTGGTGTGGTGATGGGTGGTGCAGTGCTGTGTGAGTGGGTGAGGGGTTGGGAGGAGGGTGGGCGGTGCTTGGTGCATGGGTGTGTTCCGGGGTGATTTCTAGTCGCTGCGCTGCAACAACACGGAGGGAGTTTGAAGTCAAGGAGCAGATGGCAGCGCTGGTGCAGTGCTGTGTGAGTGGGGGTGTTGGGATGTGTGGTGCCTGCTGTGTGAGTGAATGATGGGCCGTTAATGGTGCCTGCTGTGTGAGTGAATGATGGGCCGTTAATGGTGCCTGATGTGTGAGTGAATGATGGGCCGTTAATGGTGCCTGCTGTGTGAGTGAATGATGGGCCGTTAATGGTGCCTGCTGTGTGAGTGGGTGTTGGGCGATTTTCCTCTGGTCTCGCGTCTTACATTCTCTTCTTACATTTTTCTCTCCCCCCCCCTGCCCTCTCCCCTGTCCACAGTCCCTCTACCTCCCCTCGTGGCATCAGCTGCAATGGCACAAGGCGGCAGCACAAGTCTCAAGCACAGCAGCGGCAGATACCTGGACCAACACTCTCCTCCTCCTCTCCCACTGCCCCCTCCTCCCCTCACACGCCCCCTCCCCCTCACTCCCCTCTCTAGCCCACACACCTCCCTCTCCTCCACTTCCGCCACCTCCTCTCCTCCTCCTCGTCCCCTTGGGCTCCGATGCAGCAGCAGAGATGCAGGAGAAAGGAGCAGCGCTAGACTCAATCACCCCGCACCTGCGCTCCTCCCTCGGCCTATCAAACCCTAACGCCGCCCCCTCGCAAGCGCAATCATCCCGCGTTTCTTCGGCCGCTACACCCCAAGGGGTGTCACTCTCGGGTCTTTTGAGTCAACTCCCGCCCCCCATGTCCACCCCGCCTGTGGTTGACCCGGTCAACGAGAGTCAACGCAGTGCAGAGGCGCTTGACTGTGCGCTGCAGCTGCTGCTGGTGTGGGGGGAGGGCGGGGAGGGGAGGAAGGTGTGGGAGTGGGTCGGGATGGTGGTGAGTGCGGTGGAGAGGTGTGGGGAGGGGGAGAGGGAGGGAGGTATAGGAGATGAAGAGGAGGGGGGCAAGGGACAGGGAGGAGGGGCAGCGGAGGAAGGAGAAATCAACGGGGGGGAAGGTGAGAATCTACCATCATCATCAGCAGCAAGAACAGCAGCAGCAGCACCAGCGGCAGCAGCAGCAGCAGCAGCAGCAGCAGCAGCAGCAGCAGCAGCAGAGGCGCTACTATCCTGCCTCACGCCGCGTGACGCAGCCGTCTTTTTCCTCTCTGCCGCCCACCTCCTCTCCGCCGGCCGCTTCCCTGACACTGTAGCAGCCAAGATCGGATTTCGGCAGGATTTGATTCCACTGGTGGACATGCCCTGGGCGGCAGGTTGTCAGCATGTGGGGTGGGTGTTGCCTGAGGGAGAGCAAATGGTCAGGTCTGTTATGGAAGCTGCAAGGAAGTTTCTTGCGATGAAGGCCAGAGAAGCGGTGGAGGAGAGGCAGCAAGGAGAGAAAGAAAGAGGGAAAGAGCAAGAAGGGGGGCGAGAGGGCGAGGGGTTGCTGTTGGCACGTGTTGCTGTTGCAATTTCCCTGGTAAGATATGCAGCCTGCAACAGACAGCCAGGTGTTTCCTCAGGTGTGGCTTCAGGTGCTGACGGTCCTTCTCCTCCTGTTTCATCCCCTCTACAGTCTGATTCGTTATCCTCTTCTGTATACGCAGCCACTTTAGAAGCTGTTGGTAGTGTTTTGAAGGAGCTGTTATGGGGAGAAGGCAAGGATGCGAGCGATTTGGGACTTAGTATGGGAGATGCTTATAAGGAGTATGAGATGCTGGTTGAGCTAGTGGTGGTGTGTGTGTGGGCGCTGGCAGAAACAGGGGGGGCAGAGGGAGTGAGGGAGGGAGTGAGAGTGTGGGAACGAGCAGAGAACGCGCTTTTTGGTGGCAAAGGGGAGGAGGAAAGGAAGGAGGGTGGGGGAGAGGAGGGAAGGAAGGAGGGAGGAAGGGCAGAGGAGGGAGATGGAGGGGAAGAAAGCGAGGGGGATGAGAGAGGGGGGAGTGGAGGACGAGGGAGGGGGAGGGGTGGGAAGAGGGCGAAAGGGCAAGGGAGAGGAAGAGGGAGAGGGAGAGGCAAGAAAGGAAAAGCAGCGGCAGCAGCAGAAGCAGAGGCAGCAGCAGCAGCAGCCGCCGAAGCAGAAGCAGCAGCGGCGGCAGCAGCAGCAGAGGCTGCAGCGGCAGCAAGAGCTGCTGCATATTGCCGATTCATCTTCTTCCGAGCTCTCTTCTCCCTCCAGTACTGCCAAACGGAGCCGCCCAGCCTGCACGAGCAGCAGGCTAACACCCAGGCAATGGGCGGCACTGGTGGTGTTTTCCAGTCCCAGCTGGCAACGGGCGGCACTGGAGGTGGTGGTGGTGGTGGTGGTGCAGTGTATGGACTCATGTGTCGCTCTCTGCTCTCCTTGCTGCACTCTAGAGATCTTGTTGTGTCGCCCTCTCTTGCAGCTGTTGCAGCTGGCGCTGATAATGCTGCTGCTGCTGCTGCTGCTGGCGCTGATGATGGGGTTTGCATGGATATGGAAAGCAGTGCTACTAAGCTTGCAGCAGCAGCAGCCGCGAGTGCAGCAGTGAGAGAAGCAGTGAGCAGCGGGAGTTACCTGCATGTGAGAGACGCTGTCCAATGGGCCCTCGCTCTTGCTGCTGCTGATTCTCCCACTCCTGCTCACACTCCCATAGCTGCCCACGCTCCCACTGCTGCTCACATCCCCACTTCCGAAATTCTTACTGTTGCTGATCCTTCCGCTGCTGCCCACACTCCCACTGCTTCTCCACTGAAGGCAATCCCTGCTCCCCACTTTCCTCTCTCCATCCCTTCTCTCATCTGCTGGGCTCGATCACACTCACTCCTCCACCATCTCCTCCCTCCTCTCCGCCCTCTCTTCCCATCCTCTCCCTCCCCCTTCCCCTCCTCCTCCTCCTCTCCTTCCCTCACGCCATCACCCAGCCACCTTCCCTCCCCCTCACCTCCCTCCACCTCGGAATACCCCCCTCAAGTGCAACAGACCCTCTCGTGGCTGCTAGGCCCCCCCAATTTCGACTTTACTCTCCTCAACGCGTGTCTGGGGATCGGCTCTGCTCCTTCCGTCATTTCTCTCGCTGCTCCTGCTCCTGCTCCTGCTCCTGCTCCTGCTCCTGCTCCTGCTCCTGCTTCGAGTGCTCTTTCTCGCACCCCATCTTTTCCTCCTAATCACCCCGAAGAGGCTCGGCAGCTAGAGCAGGTTCGGCAAACCCTGGACCTCCTGCCTCGGAACGTGCCTCTTGCCCGAACCTACCTCGACCTCTTGTTTGGGAACAACCTTCCGAACGTGCTCCAAGCCACGGCTGCTGCAGCGGCTGCAGCTTCGGAAGCTGCTTCGAAGCCCAAGCCAAAGCAGAAAGGGAAGTCCGGCGAAGGTACCGAGCCTGTTACACTACCCCCGACCGTCAACCCGTCTCAGCTGACCCATGCGGTTACCACGTTATTAACGGCGTTGCAGCAAGGGGGAGGGGGAGTAGGAGCAGCAGCAGGGGGGGCAGGGTCGGGTCATCCTGGCTGGGAGGCGGAATGGACGGTGCTGATCGACGTTGTGGATGTGATCATGGCGAATCGGACGGCTGCGTGTGCGATGGCTCGTGTGGCTGTGGCTATCCACCTTTTGTCGAAGCAACTGCAAGATAGAGAGGTGGGCCGTGGGGGAGTGGGGAGGAGAAGAGTTGGGGGTTGGGAAAAAAGGGAGATTGGGGAATAGAAAGGCAGGAATTGGAGGGTTGTTGTCAGGATGTGAAGCACTCATTTGATTTGTTGGTGCGGGCTTTTAACTGTGTTTCTGTTTCTGTTTCTGTTTGTTTTTGTGTTTCTGTTTGTATGCCTCTCCTGGTGTGGGATGGGTGGTTGTGGGGGAATGAGGCAGGAGGATGGGCGGGTGTTTGTGTGATTTTGGGGGGATGGGGGAGGGGGTATGGAGGATGCGGGGAAATTGGCAGTTGGGTTGTTGTGTGTGAGCTTGCTTGCATGGGTTGACTTAACGCGGATGGTGGGTGTGGTGTCTCTGTGTGTGGCTGACACGTAGGGGAAAATGTTAACTCCATGTGTGCATGTGCATGTGCATGTGCATGTGCATGTGCATGTGCATTTGCATGTGTATGCGCATGTGCATGTGCATGTGCATGTGAATGTGCATGTGCATGTGCATATGTGCGAGTGAAGGCCGAGTCGCAATTGTACGTGCGTGTGCATATGTGTGTGTGTGTGTGTGCGCATTCGGGTGTGTGCGTGTGGGTGTGTGTGGGTGGGTGTGTGCGCGGATGTGATCGTGCATGCATGCGCATGTGTGCGCGTGTGTGTGCGCGCGAGTGTGTGTGCGCGCGTGTGTGTGTGCATCTGTGCATGCATGCGTATGTATGCGCACATGTGCATGTGTCCGTGTGTGTTGTGTCTGTGCATGTGTGTGCATGCATGTGCACGTATGTGCATGCGCGTTCACATGTGTGCATGTGCATTTGTATGTGTGAATGCCTGTGTGCATGTGTGTGTGTTGCAATGGCAGGCTAAGCTCAACCCAAAAGCGACACAGAAGAGGGAGAAAGCCCAAGCCCATCCCACCAACCGTTATGCTTGAGCACAGCGCGGTGCAGTGCAGTGTGGTGGCGTGGAGCGCGGTGCTGTGCAGTGTGGTGGCGTGGAGCGCGGTGCTGTGCAGTGTGGTGGCGTGGAGCGCGGTGCTGTGCAGTGTGGTGGCGTGGAGCGCGGTGCTGTGCAGTGTGGTGAGCCCATCCCACCAACCGTTACGCGTGAGCACAGCGGAGGAGAGCAGCGCGATGCAGTGCTTTGCAGTGCGGTGAAAAGGGTGAGAAAGGCAGAGCAGCACAGAGCAATGCCGTGCAAAAGCGACATAGAAGTGGATGGGGCCCAAATCTATGCTGCCAACCATTGATTTTTGAGGCGCCACAAAAGGGCCCAAATTTATGCTGCCAATCGATATGCATGAGCACAGCAGGGCAGGGCACTCCAGGGACGAGCAGGGCAGGGAAGAGTGTTGCAGTGCCTTGCAGAACGGTGCAGTGCAGTGCAGTGCAAAGAGTGAGGATGGTAGAGCAGCAGCGCGGGACAGCACAGTGCGAAGGGTGAAGAGGGCAGCGCGCTTATAGTGGAGGAGAGGGGGAGGAGAGGGGGAGTGGCCAGAAACACCCACTGATGGACGGGTAAGGCGCAAGGGGGAAGCCCCTGTTAAGGTGAGTAGGTTGCAAAGGGTGCAGTGAGTCTGGCTAAGAGTTTTGTAACACTCTTTATAAGGTGGTTTGATTGGTTATGGTGGTTTGATTGATATGAGGTTTCATATGCGTGCTTGAGGTGCCTGTGGGGCTGAGGCAGACAGAGAGGCAGAGGTTTATCAAGAGGTTGTGCGTGGTTGCATTGGATAGGCGTGTGGTTGCATAGGTAAGCACACAGGTAAGGAGCATGGGGGTTCCTTAGCTTGGCAGCTGGAAAGTGACATTGCTTGTTGAGAACGGAAGGCAGAGGGAAGAGTGCGAGGATGGTGGGTCGTGGAATCCGTACTTTGTTCACTGGGGACCAAAAAAAAAAAAAGGGTGACAACAAAAAACGGGTGACAAAAAAAAAGTATGAAGGGAGAGATCTTTTGCTGGCAAGATTTTGAGTGCTAAGTGGGAGGGTGTTGAGATGAGATCTTGGGGGGAAGAAGATGTGAGGTGTGCTGGAATCGAAGCTCTTTTGGAATCATGCTTTTGAGATTTTTCAAAAGAAGATGCGAGGTATGCATGAAGCTCAATTTCCCTCCTCTTCTTTGCTTCTCTTTCCTCCCTTCCCATCACTCCCACCATTCCGTTTTTTGCACAACCAGTATGCCATGCGAAGTGCTAAGAGGGGGGAGGCAAGAGAGGAAGGGGGTGTGAGGCTGAGAGGGAGAGAGGGGAAGGGGAATGGAGGATGAGGACGAGAGTGAGAGAGTCAGTGTGTGTGTGTGTGTGTGAAAGAGAGAGGGGATGCATGCTTATGCTGTTGGTGAATCATCCGGTATAGTGGTGGGAGGGAGGGAGAGAGGGTCAGGGGATAAGAGGACCTAACCTTTGCTCTGTCTTGCAGGGTCATTCTTGAGTCAACTTCAAAGTTACCAGGAAGCGTTGCTGCTGCCACCCCCACCAGCAGCAGCATCACCAGCAGCATCATCAGCACCATCAGCAGCAGCATCGGCAGCAGTAGCACTAACAGCACCGCCACCACTACCACCACCACCATCATCGCTACCGCTAACAGCACAGCAGCACCGCCACCACCTAGCTACCGGTACATGTGCTTATTTTCATGCTTCTATACCTTTTCCACTTTAACAGGTACTTGTGTTCAGCTTCCGTTTCCTGTTTGAGAAGCAACTGACACACGCATGTGCATATGAGCCTGAATGTTCACGAAGTGTTTGTGTCTTGGAATAAACAAGTGGCTGAATTCATAAGTTTCCGTTTTCCTCAGTCTTGAACACCATTGGAGACCAGCTGAACCTAAACAGTAGACATCACGTGAAATGAAATACTATCTGCACTGCAGCATTGCACCTTGCCTTAACAATACCGTAAGAAAATGTCGAGTCATTGATGTAGACAAATGGGGCAGGAAGCATCTACGGAACCGAGTGCTGCAGGTCTTGACGCTGCAGACAATGCTATTACTGCTGCTGCTCGTGCAACTATCGGTCCAGTACATACACATCTTTATAAATCGACTCGGCTATAACAGCTGCTATTCTTGCCGCAAGTGTTCGTGCTGCAAGTACTTGCAGCGGCAGACCCTGCTGTTGGGGTATAGGCCTATGACTGACTGCCATTGCTGTGGTAAACTCGAGTCGACTAAAGAGTCCCTTGCAGCAGACCGTGCTGTATGGGTATAGGCCCATGACTGACTGCAATCGCTGGGGTAATCGGCACCATGATGACTTCTGAGCCTGCAACGCCAGGACACAGTCAGTCTAGTAACCAGCCTTGTAGTAAGCAGCAGTAGTGGAGCGAGCGAGCATACAGGCAGCCTTCAACCAGTTTTGCACAATTCTCGAGGCAATTTTGCAGCAGATTTGCAGGCAATGTTTTGACCAGCTTCTCTCTCTAGAGAGACACTGTCAGCGCTTGTTGCTGCTCCTGCTGCTTTTGAGGCGCCTCAAAAGCTTCTCTCTCTCTAGAGAGACACTGTCAGCGCTTGCTGCTGCTCCTGCTGCTCATGCCGCTGCTGGTGGTGTAACAGACTACTGAAATATCCACTCCTGAAACCCTGAAAGAGAGATCGTCTAGCAGCAGATGGTGAGGTGGGTTGGGAGGAGGCCAGAGAGGAGGCAGCAGAGGAGGCAGGAGAGGAAGAGGAGGAGGAGGGGGATGTGTCTGTGTCTGGTGAGAGGTCTAGATCGAGTGCCACGTCAGCAGGTCCTGCGCCTGATCTGGAGCGCGATGCTGACGTGTTGAATCGGGATTGGAGGAGGAGAGAGAGCCGAGTGGCAGCCTCGGCTGCTTCTGCCTCGGCGAATTCCTGCTGGATTGATTATCAGGGAAGTAAATAGGTGGGTGTTGTTTTTTGTGGAAAGTGGGGGAAAGGGGGGTGAGGAGATAGGAAGAGTTGAGTTGGTTGATACGGTAAGAATGTGTACGGTAGCAAGTGTTGAGTGTTAAATCCGATGGGCAGAGCGGGAACAGAGAGCGGTTGATACGGGAACATGCAAGCACATGGAGACAAGCACATGGAGGCAAGCACATGGAGACAAGCACATGGAGTCAAGCACATGGAGTCAAGCACATGGAGACAAGCACATGGAGACAAGCACATGGAGACAAGCACATGGAGACAAGCACATGGAGTCAAGCACATGGAGTCAAGCACATGGAGTCAAGCACATGGAGTCAAGCACATGGAGTCAAGCACATGGAGTCAAATCTACCATACCCACACGGCGCAAACTTCTGAGCCACACTCCCCCTGAACCCACCAACCGCCCCACCAACACCCACCAGCCATCCACCTGACGGTATCGGTCGTGGATGGCAACGAGGGCGCACCACACCCACTCCCATCACCACCCCACCCCACCACTGCGCAAACCACCAACAACCCTACCCCCACCCCACCACTGCGCAAACCACCAACAGCCCTACCCCACCCCACCATTGCGCAAACCTCCGTCACCCAGCCCCACCCACCTGGCGGTATCGGTCGTGAATGGCCGCGAGGGCGCGCGCTAGGATGAAGCACGGCAGCAGAATGCCGAGCAGCTGCATCAGAAATATCTGCAGAGGAAGAGGAGGGGGGGGGGAGCGAGGAGGGAGGAAAAACGGCAGGAGGGAGGGGGGGAAAGGCGGTGGGGACGGGAAAGGGGTGGGAAAAGGGAAGGGCGAGGATGAAGCAGAGCAGCAGAATGCCAAGCAGCTGCATTAGAAAAATCTGGGGGGGGAGGTGAAGGTGTGGCGGGGCGGGGGAGGGGGATGAGGGGAGGGGAGGAAAAAGGGGGAGGCGGAAAAATGAGGGAGGGGTTGGGAGTGTGGGGGTGGGGGGAGGTGGAGGGGAGGTGGAGGGGAAGACGACGGTAAGCGGGAAGGGGGAACGGAAGGAGGATGAAACAAGGCAGCATACAGTCGCACAGCCATACAGTCGCACAGCCATACAGTCGCACTGCCATACAGTCGCACAGCCATACAGTCGCACAGCCATACAGTCGCACTGCCATAGAGTTGCACAGCCATACCATCGCACAGCCATACCATCGCACAGCCATACCATCGCACAGCCATACCATCGCACAGCCATACCGTCGCACAGCCATACCGTCGCACAGCCATACCGTCGCACAGCCATACCGTCGCACAGCCATACCGTCGCACAGCCATACCGTCGCACAGCCATACTGTCGAACAGCCATACCATCGCACAACCATACGTCGCACACCCACACCTCGCATACCCTCACACACCCACACCCTCGCCCAGCATCACAGCCATACTGTCGCACAGACATACCATCGCACAGCCATACCGTGAACTCTGCCGAGTCTTCGTCAACGTCGTCGTCGTCGCCACTCGCCTCCAGCACGAGTGCGAAGAAGTGCCGCGCGAATATTAGAAGCAGCACCTGCGAGCATGGGGAGAAAGTCGGGTAAATTGTGAATTGTGGATCGTAAATTATAATCGAGCGGCTAACAACGAAAAGAACGAACGCTCGATGATAAATGGGCAGCTGATACCAAATCCACGTACTGGAAAAAAGACGAAGTAGTTGATAAGAAAAAATCCACTTACGATGATAATGAGCGACTTTAGGCAGCTGACGGTCGCCGGCTCCGGGATTTCCGGCGCCGCGGGCGCGGACGCGAAGTCCTCGAGGCCGAAGCGCAGCTCCTCGCCCGTCACCGCGTCGCGGAATGTGACGATGTGGCTCAGCTGCCCCGCGCCGTCGCGAAATTGCAGCGCCACGAGCCCCGGCGTGATTGGCGGAGAGGCGGGCGGCGGCGGCGCGGTGTAGCCCTCTTTGAACGGCTGGAAGGGGATCAGGGGTGCGGAACGAGGGGAGAGGAACGAGGGGAGCGGAAGGGGAGGAACGGAAGGGGAGGGGCGGAAGGGGAGGGGCGGAACGGGGGTAGGGCAGAACGGCGGGGAACGAGACAAGGCGATTAGAAAGGATCTGTCAGCATGCTGGTGGGGAAGAGGACAGAGGTGGGGAAGAGGACAGAGGTGGGGAAGAGGACAGAGGTGGTGAGGTGTGACCGTCTTTGATAAATGAGAGCATGAGGAGCGTAGGTGCATAAACATAAATACGGAAAAAAAATTGGAGAAAAAATAAAAAAACAGACACAAAAGTTGGGGGTTGAAGGAGGGGAGGGGAGGGAAGGGCAGGGCGCGGGGAGGGGGGGGCGGGGGGGGGGGAGGGGAGGGGGGAAGGGAATGGGGAGGGAGGGTGTGGCGAATTACGGAATGTCCAAAGACGAAAACTTTGCAGCCGCGAGTATGCGACTTGGCAGACGAGTAATGCGGAATGGTACAAGACACACGTACTGAGACGTTAGGCACGGAGGAAAAACTTACATGATGGCAGATTTCGCACTGCGTGTTGCCCTTCTCGTTGCACCACCTCTGGATGCAATCGTGATGCGCGTACTGCAGTGACTCAACAACAGGGACATGGGCATTTACGAACATAAGCTGAGCGCCAAAAACTCCCCATGGCAAGATTCTACAGAAAGGCAACAAACGAAAGACTACGACATATTAATCTACAAGCGCAGAAGCCGAGAGTACCTTGAGACTACCGGAGCACGCGCACGGAACATCCAGCTTTGACACGTCATCCTCTTCCTGACAGATACGGCACTCTTTGGCGTCGCGGTCTTCAATCGACACATTATCAGGCTTGTAAACGGCCGCAGGTTCGGAAACCGAGTCCTTGCCATGGCTGCTGCTTATAACTCCTCCATCAGTGCAGCTGGTGCCTGAGCTGCTAGGGATCGTGTCGCCGTCACTCGAGTTGCTGGTGCTTGTGGTGCTAACGCTAGCGCTGCTTCTGCTGGTTCGACTGGCGCAGGCGCTGCTGTTTTCACTACTTTGCCTCCTAACCAACGGTTGCGATTCCACCTCCTGCTGCGAGCTGTATTCCACGTCAGGCTCGTCCGATTGGGCCTCGGTATACTGCGATTCGACTTCTTGCTGCTGACGTGGATTGGCTGAAACTGGTAAGCCTGCGTTATGGGGTTGCAAGTCGCGGCTGCTGTACCGGCCAGTGCTGCTGCTGTCTACCGTTGATGAAGTCATTCGAAACTACTGCTTTGCTGAGCTTAGGTAAGGTAAACGCATACGAGCAACGAAAGTGAACAAGGTTGTTTGCTTCCTAAGAAACCAATCTGCAGGTTACTCACCAAGGCCTACTCAGCGCAACTAAATACACAAAGAGTGTTCAACGGCTCCGACATTCACGTCCAGTCCGACCAAACAGGAGCAGCGTTGTCGGCGCGAAAGCGCTAAGCTAGCAAAAAGTAATCGTAATTCGACCCGCAATCACGTCTTGCGTAAGAATAGCTAAGCTGAGCAGAGGTCAAGCAAAGCGGGGAGGGAGCACGGCAAACGTTCCCCTGAAAACAACCCCGAGAATCACGTGGAACAGACGCACAGCTGGAAGGGGAGGTTCGGATGGAGGTTGGGGGTTCAAACAGAAACGACAGCCATCCGGTTCGGGATAAGTCTGGCAAGGCGACACAGGCTCGGATATCAACACTGCGGCGATGTCCGTGACAGCTGCTGGGGAAAGACGGTGTGACGACGTCCGTGACTGTAACGGGAGATTTCTAGGTCTGTACGTATGGATGCGACGGAATTTGAAGCTTCGGTTCGGTGAAGACTTCACGGGCACAGCTGGAAAGCGCGCTGAGCCCAGCGAGAGAAACAAAGTTGACGTGCTCGACGTCCAGCCGAGCCGGCTCCGGCTTATACATGAAGGAATGAGGTGCTGTAGTTGATGGGCGATGGCGGGGTAAGCGATGGTTACGACGGGACAGTTCCCAAGCGAGGAACACCGTCACCGTCGTTAGCGAGCGTCGGCGAACCTGAGCAACTGCGGAACAAAATTGTCAGGTGCCCTGCTTGAGAATGTTCGACATGCGCCGACAATCTATTCAAAAGCTAAAAGAAAAAAGTCCAGTATAACCACATAAAATGGCAAAAAAACTATAGAATTATTAAACAATTGATCAGATTAGTATCCAGGAAGAAAGCCAGAAAACCACGGTCGCGTATCTTTTCCAGCAGCTAAGTTAAACCACCAAGACACAGGCACAGTTTTGCAGCACTTCACATCCAGTCCTTCACATCACAATGTTGCCAAAGGTAATAGACTGATGGTCCACAGGGGGGTTCTGCACAGGCTATCCTCTTGGCAAGCCGCTTCTGTGATGAGAGGGCCCGGAAAATCCGCCAGGAGTGCGGCAGTTCAGCATCTCAGCAGCCTGTCCGCAAGTCACTCATACATGTGTTGTTGCATGCTGGTTTGAACATTGTCGCATTTCTGTATAAGGCGTACTTGCTGCCCAGGGTGTACTTGTAGTATGCTGCCGTTCTGTTACAGAGATAATCACAGGTGTACTGCAGGAACAACGGGGAAAAAAACAAATCAGAGTTGAGTGATTGAACGTGGTTAAGCGACTTCCAAGTACCGAAAAAAAAAAAGGGACACAGGGAGGGGAGGGGGGCCAGCATGGGTTGGGAGGTTGAGAAAGAGCATGCACAGAGACATTGGAAAGAAAGTGGGAGGGAGGAACGGGCGACTGGGATTGAACTCACCAGCAAGCATTCACACTGCGATTTGAACATCCATGGGCAGTAGTAGAAATAATCCGGAGTGAGAGGCCACGTTGGGAACGGGCACATGCCGGGCGGCGCAGGGCACGTGTTTGGAACAGGTTCTATTGCCGTCCGGTTCTGGCAGATCCCCTCGTTGCACAGATTGCACGGCCCAGATCGCACGAGCGGCAGGGCAAAGCTGAGCACAGCATGACACACCGACTTGTACGTCACATAATCCGAGCCACAGACGGGGAGAGAATCGGCGCAGATGTTTCCTGCAATCTTTCTCGTGCAGGGGATGAGGAGCATTTGGCCGGGCGTTATGGATTGGTCTGAGCAGTCGGGGAGGGAGTTTGAGGAGCAGATATCTGCCGGATATGTGTTGTTTGGACACATGGAGGCGTATTGCTGGGAGATGGACGCGAGCGTGTCGTTCACCCCCACGGAGTAGGGGATGACGTTTGGAGAGAGCGGATACTTGGTCATGGACTGTGTTGTGCCGTTCACACAGACTCTCTGTCCGATTTGAAGGTAGGGTGGGTAGCACTGCGCAAGGGGGTGCAGGCGACGGCAGAGAGGAGGAGAAACAGGCACAAGGGAAGCGGGTGGTGAGGTTCATACAAGAGCGAACGGGACACTCGGGTATGGCAGAAAGGCGTTGTGGGGGAGGTGGCGACGAGGCGATAGGGTCATAGCAAGGCGAGAGAGCGGGGAGACATGAGGACAGGGAGACATACCCTGAGGCCCGGGTTGAGGCGGAGGAACTGGTTGACTGTGAGGCCGACGGAATTGGCCATGAGAGAGCACGTGTCCGCCTGTGTGACTGTGTACCACGAGTTGCAATCCACTGTGATAAACTGCAGCCAAGGGGAGGGGAGGAGGGGAGAAAAGGAGAAAGATTGATAACGCGACTGAGAAGCAAGGAAAGAAGGTGGGGGTGGAGAAGGAGACGAAAGTGGGGAGGAAGGGGTCGAGGGGGTGGAAAGTGGGGAGTGGGGAGAGGGAGGAATGGGGGGGAAAGATGGCGGTGACGGTGTTTGAAAGAGGGGGAGAGAGGGGAAAGAGGAGGGAGTGTACCTCAGTGGTGAGAGGAGCCACGCAGACTGCAATGGCATTGCTGATGGGGTTGTCGTCACACCGAAGCCCCGGATTCAGCCTGGAAATGGCAGCAAACAGAAAGCAGGCGAGACGAGATACAATGCTTTGATGACGCGTGAAGACACAGGTAAAAGGTCAGAGAAGAGCGGTGGCATATCCGACGGTTCCCGAGCACTGCATGGCATCCGACGGTTCCAGGGAACAGATGGCATGGCACGGGACGCACCAGACGAAATCGATGAGCGAGATGTTGAACCCGCGGGCGATGTCTGTGCACCTGTCCTGCGGGCCCACGTTGTACACGCGCCCGCACGAACGGATCAACGGCGACGTGGACGACAGGGCCCCTGGTGCGACGCACAGCATCTGCGACCGCTGCAGCGACACGTTGCAGTTGAGGGTTGGGTTGATCCCTAACAGCTGGCGTACAGTGATGTTGTTGCGTGTAGCAACTGTGCTACATGTGTCGCCGGGACTAACTATATCCATCGCGGAGCAGCCTAAAGTGGTGTTTGTCGAACCGACGAGAATGACGTAACCAGGGGTGAGTGGTTGCGAGCAGTCGAGGAACGGATTCTTGGTTTGGAGAAAGTCTATGGTGAATCCAAACGTGCTGGCAACGGTTTGGCAGGTGTCGCCTAGCAGAATTGTGTAAGTTTGGAGACCCGATTGGAAAGTGCCGAGCACGCAAGTCATGCTGCCCTCAACACGCGAACCGATAACCGAGCCCTGCACACACACACACAAAATGGCTAGGCTGAATAAATAAAATTGCGGCAGAAAGTACATCGAAAGATAATAAATGACGGAAGTTGGAGCAGGATGGGGAAGAGAGGGAAAAGTGATGGGTGAACAACTTACAGCAGGGCATGCGCAAGTGTAGCTGCCATCGAACTCGTTGTAGCATGTCCCGATACCGCACGGATTCGGATTCGCATCACAAGGTGTAGCCACCGTGCACTTAGGCGCGTCGTTCTCCAGTCTCTCTACATACCCAGGCGGGCAATTGCACCGCGCACCACCGTTCGTCACCACACACGTCCCGCCTCCGCAAGGATTGATCGGGAGCTTGCAGAGAGCCGCTCCCTTGGTCTTATCGTAAAAGGTAGGGTAAATACCCCGTTCGCTTAACATATTACACTTGCCAGGCCCGTCCGCCAGCATCGGTAGCCTCATGTAACCGCCTTCACCCCAGGAGGATCCCCAGGTGTTTTTAACAATCCAGACGGGCGAGTTTGGGTCGACGAGACTGTAGCCCACGACCAACACCGCGTGGTCGATTTCGCCGCTGCACTGCCCGAAAAAAATCCCACCCGAGTAATTCTGCCATGCGTGGGGGACAGCGAGTGGAATCGGAATCGAGGGGGAAGCTTGAAGCCGGGGATTGGGGTAGGAGGAACGAAGTGGGGAAGGAGCGATGGGGGACGGAGAGAGGAAGAGGAAACGAAGCAAATATGTGCTTCAAGTCGAAAACGGGAAGCGCACGGCTGAAAACGGGGTGGGGGAGGGTTGGGGAGGTGGGACATAGAGGGAGGGGAGGGGAATTGGACAAGCACGTGTGTGAAGGGCGAGCGAGCGACAGGGTCAGAGAGAGAGCGGGAGAGCGAAAGAGAGAGGGAGAGAGAAAGAGAGAGACAGAGAGGGAGAGAGAGAGAGGGAGGGAGGGAGGGAGGGAGGGAGGGAGGGAGGGAGGGGGGGAGGGAGGGAGGGAGGGAGGGAGGGAGGGAGGCGGCGTACGATGAAGTCGTTGCTACTGCCGGCGATGTACACGAGCACGGGGTGCTGCGCCACGGCCTTCATCAGCGCCGTGTTGCTCCGCGCCGGCACCTTCTCCCACCCGTTGATCTGCGCGCATCCAAATGACGGAGGTGAGGGGGAGAGAGGGACAGGGAGAGAGAGAGGGGAAGAGGGAGGGAGAGGGGGAAAAAGAGAGAGAGTGTGAGAGAGAGAGAGGGGGGGGGGGGGAGGGGGGGAGGGGGAGAGGGGAGGGGAAGACAGGGAGAGAGCGAGAGGGATGAGAGAGGGGGAGGGCGATGAGGAGACGCGGAAAACAACAGGAAGATGAACAACGAGCAAAATGATGAGCATCGACGTAAAGCAGAAGTCGAAGTAGCTCGCATTTAAGTGTGTCCATTTCTGACCCCCCCTCCCCCCCCTCCCTCCACCCTCCAACCGCAGTAACTTTGACCCCTTTACTGCATGCTCCGATAACCGCAGTCTGCACCTGCTCCCACTCGCAACCCGCACCTTCGCCTTGAGCTTCAACTTCGAGACGCTTGCACAGGTCGAGTTAATCGCGCCCGCGTACGGATAATCCGCGTTAGAAGCCACCCCGCCGTTCACCATAATGAACTGGAACACCCACTCGGGCCAGCCGCCGCGGCAGCAGCCGGAGGAGGAGCAGTCGCAGGCGTGCTGCGTGGAGAGGAGCTCGACAGTCTGGTTGTTGATCTGCGACCACACGATGCTCACGAGGTCCGTCGCAGTCATCGCCCAGCAGCTCTCGCACTGACAAGGAAAACAGGAAGGGAAGGAAAGGGACAAGGGTATCAAATCATTTTTAGCGAGTCAATGGCAGGAGCAAGTGACAGGCGAGGAGAACGGGCGGAAGGGATGGGGATTACGGAGGGGGGATGAACACGGGAGGTGATGCAGACTTGGCAAGAAAGCAAACATTGGCCTGTAGACACAAAGAGTAAGCAGAAATGACTTCAGGCTGACGGTAAGAGTACTGCGAGAAGCAGACAGATATAGAGAGAAAGAGCGCTAGAGACGTACGAACTGCTGGTTTAACATAGGCGTGATGTACGGAGTGATGCTCCAGTCAACGAGCGTCGGCGTCGACACGCTCTGCCATCGAAACCAGGTGATATTCATGTCGCCGCGAGCAGGAGCTGCTCCCAAGTCAGGCGCTTGAAGCGCCTGGACCTTCCCCGAGTTACTCTGTAACTTTCTTCGTTGAGGAAGATCCTTCATTTCGTACAGCTCCATGTAAGCTGGCTTTGCGAGAATCCTTCGCTCCGACGAACTTGGCTTCAGAAATTCTTGCAGCTTCCGACCCCAGTTGAAACCTTCCGCTTCTTTCTCGCCGAGTATATTTTCTCTTAACAACCTCCCAACCATACGAGTTTCTTCGAGTTCCTCCGGAGAAGCAGAATACTTGTAAAAAACAGACTTCCTGATCGGACCGCTGGCAAGGCTTCGTCGGAGAATGTGAGACGAAAGCTCGCGAGCATTATAAGCAGCGAACTCTTCCGGGTTGTCCTTCTTAAGAAGCTGCTCTTTCCGCCATCTTTCTTGCATGTACGACTCGAATGCCGATGGTTGATAAGTTACTGAACCGGAAACAGCAGATGCAGAGCCATCGACTTGCTCTCGTGAAAGAGATAAGGGAATGGAAATGGAGATTGTCGCTAGGAGGAGTAGCCGAAGCGAAACCGTGCGAAGTAATCTACCACCTATCCGAACTTGCTGGTTTGCCGGAAGACACCCCATATTGTCTACTAAACTACGCGAGGAAACTTAAGCCACCAGTACTGTAGTAACTACGAATCAGAGCTTAGGTTGAACCTTGAAATTTTCACGAACCAACCCTGACCTTGGCCCTCCAGTCGTTATATTATTTTTACGCAAGAACGTCGCAGCAGCCTCGCAAGAAACCTGAGAGGCTGAAGAATATAACTCTGGTTGAGCTCGACGGCCAGAACGGCACTATGTTATCCCGAGTCTTGGCTGCACTAGCGATCTGCATCTTAGTCCCGTAACCGAAGTCATGGCTGCAGAGCTCGTAGATACAGTCCCAATCCAAACCAACCCAACGCGTCCTGCTGCTGGTTTCTTCCTTGTTTGTGGATGGTTGGTGGGAAAATGGCAAGTGTGGTCCAGGCTCTTGACTTCTGATGGAAGCTGATTTGCGGAGAGGACGTGAAACCCTAGCTCCTCCCAAGGTGTATCAGGGTGTCTGCCTTCTTCGTGTCTTGTGTTGTTGCTCTCCTTGTCTTCTTGTCCTGCTGGTTGGGGTGAGGCGAGTTGTGGTGTATCATGTTGTCAGGCTGAACTTTTACGGGAAGAGACGGTCTGCTTTTCAGAAATCTATGTGGTTTCTATGCGGTTGAATGCGGTTATTTTGAACTCCTTCACGCCCTAAGTGCTGGTGGGGGAAGGCTGGTGGGAATATCTGTGGGAAGGCTGGTGGGAGGGCCTGGCAGGATGTTCTGTGCGTTACGCTTGATGACATCGTCTTTGCAGCAGCCAGCTGATCCGACTCCTCGTGTTTGTCCACGTCCACTGACTGACCCATCTGCGACGGACGATTTTTGGCGGCAGGAATCTCGTCGCATGGAAGTCGTTCATCGATTGGATTGGTTTGTTTGTCCGTCGCCCGTAACGTAACCTGTTCTGCCCAAAACAAGGAGCTTCGCCAATGGCCATTGGCCACTCCCACTGCCCACACATGTTCTCCTTTCTTTCACTAGCTCCAAACCTATCTCCCCGTTTGCGCTGCCCTCGCACGTAGTGTTTCTGACACGACCAGCCCAACTGCATGAGTGTCATCGTCAACTCTTGTTGTCTGCTTGGGTTGGTTGTCCGTCACCAACCGTTCACTTACGCGTAACTCCGCGTTTTTATATTCCTCCTGCCACACAGACAATCTAAGAGTCGACAATTATTGCTCGGACTGGTTTAGGCAGGCAACGATTTCCGCGGGGGTAAGTTCCCCAATTTCCCCACTGCATCGGAAAGCATCGAAATACAAGAGGAGATGGGAATGGGGTACTGGCTGCCTTACATTCCACACTATCTACTTCGACCCTTACACGTGTACAGTACATTCATTTACCAAGCGTAACTGACATCTTCACGAGGGGCCACGGAACATTGAAAACATTAGTTCAGAAGGACCATTCCAGAAGGATATTGTTGTGTATTTCCACAAACATAGCCGACGATCTTCACGATGGCTTCTGGTTGGCACTACAGTCCAACTGTACAAACTCCTGTCCTTCAGGTGTCTGGGTGTACTGCTGCAATCGGGTTGGGGGCACCAGCGGTTCAACAACACTCACAACGCGAATAACTAGTTTATATACACCTACACTTTATACAAGATTACGAAAAAACACTTACTAGCATCACCACTTTATCGCATTGACTAACATATGGTATCCAACGCGGTTTTAAAAGGCAGTTATTCCATAAGATACCAGTCAGTAACACACTTGGAACTTTCACATCATGAATATTTGCCTCTAGGTTGTTCAGAATGCATTCATGCCTTGGGCCGACTAGATCAGCTCGATCATTTCCAAGCGTTTTATTCAGGGGGGGTTAGAGAGATTCTGGTTCTGGATCTGTGTAAGGATTCATTCAAAGAGGAGTGATTTTATTCATCCATCCTCTGCTTTGTATCGCGTAAAAACTGGGGTGCTCTTCGACGACAGTGAGAGCGAAGTGAGGAGGGGCCATCGTCGGTTGTGGATGACATCTCCGTCCAAATTCTACACGTCACAGCACATGGAACACCCGCGCGCGCGGAAACGCCTCACCAGCTTTTCCCCCAATTGTAGTTGTGGTTGTGGGAGGGGTGGAAGAGTGTCCGGCGGATGGGTAGGTATGAAGAGGTGGCGTAGTTTCCTGGGGGGTGGGATAAAATGAGAGTAGTTGGAAACTACGCCACCTCCCTGACAAAAGTCGTCGCGTACAGTCGCAGAATGAGTAGGTTCTTCGTCCGTGCGACTCGAAGGTGTCCGTCTGCTGTGGTTGGAAGCGGGGGTGTGTGGTGTGGAGGGGTGGTTTGGATTCGAGCTCAGCGACGAAATCTGGCGTGGATCAGAGGACGGTCAGAACCGCGCCGCGCCTGGTAAACCTGATTCGGGGGTGTCGGTGAAACGCGGATTCTCTTTGGTGAGTCCCGCTTGCAAAGAGACGGGCACCGATTCACCGAACCGAAATCTCAAATTACTGTACAGCTTCGTTGCACCGTGGCCTTTCTGGCACGCATGCCCCTTTCCTCCAAATTTGTTTCTGCTGCCCCGCATGCAACAATTCCTCGGGATTCAACGCGCATTGAAATTTGGACGACTCGAGTCGACGACGACAGAAACGCAGCTCCCGCCAACCCGAGCCTCGCATGTGCAGGGGCAGCACCAGCCCAGCGAAGCTCCCCACGCCTTTCGTGGAAAACCTCTTCGCTTGTCAGGTAAAGCATATAAGTAGTTGAAATCAGTCGACAGAGAAAATCAGTTCTGTTCAGTCTACAAGTAACTACTCATACCAAAGCACTAGAACTATCCTGCATTCCAAACATCGCTCCCTGTTTAGCTTTCATTCGCGTCGCTTCTCAAGGACCGAATCGGTATAAGTTTTTAAATAGAGACGCCGGGACCACCGCCGTTAATTCAGTTAGTTCACAGAAATCATGGGATCCAACGGCCAGATGCAAAAGCCCGCTTCCGCTCTCTTCCTCTCTCCGCACGATTTCGGCGGAAACAGCATTTGGAGCGTTAGCCAGACTGACAAGCCTGCGGGGAAAACGCAGTCGCAGCTCCAGGTTCAAGTAGCTGGGGACGACACGAGCGAGTGTGATTATAACGGGAGTGATTGCGACGACAGCTGCTCTACCGACTCCACCTTTTCTTGCCTCTCCCCTCGCTCCTCCGTATCTTCCGCCGCTGGTTCGCTTTCTCCCACTTCCGTGCTTCGAAGCGGCGCTTCCGTCGCTTCTTGGAATACGGTTGAGCTGTATAACGCGGATGTTGCGGACGACGTGGGGCCAGCGGATAGCGAATCTGATGCTGACGAGATTAATCTGCCCGACGACCTCGACCTCTATCCTCGCGAAAACTCGTCCGGTATCGCGCACTCGCAACTCGCAGCTTTCGCGAACAGCAACGTGTCTTCCGACAGCATTCTGGGTCGGCCCGCATTTCCCCCCGCTGCTGTCTCCACCCCCGCCCCTTACCTTGCGCCCTCGCCCGCGCCTCTTGCGCGCGTCTGCGGATCTGCCGCGTCCCCCCCGAACCCGCAAGTGCAGTATCAGCAGCACCAACAGTTGATGCAGCAGCAGATGAGCCTGTACTGGCAGCAGATGTACCTGAACCAGATGCACCTGCAGCAACTGATGCACCTCCAGCAGCAGCAGCAGCAGCAGCAGCAGCAAAGGCAGCAGCAGTGCGCGGCACCGCAGCAGCCACAGGAGGAGTCCCCGCGGGTTTTCCTTCCGCCGCGCTTCCTTCCCCAGCAGAACACCGCGGGCACGGGGGTCTTCCTCCCGCCCACCCGCGCTTGACCCACCACACGGCACAGAATCGTCGCAAAGAGGGTTCTGATTTCGCCAGCTCGAATGATTACCAAATAAGGCATGCGACAGATCTGTGGTTACGGTAGTCCTGTACATGGTTTTGATAGAGCTGCTTGGGGGCTGCTGCTGGTTACCCTGTGTGTGCTGTTGCTGCGTGCAGTGCACAAGGGGTAACCATTAGCAGCTCGCCAAATTAGGAGTAGGTCACAGGCCCCTGCCCTCTGTGTGCTTCTTTGAATGGTGTTGTGTGAAGTGAAAAGTTGGGTTTTTTGCAATCCATAGGGCCAAGATCTCATAGCAAGCAAAACCACTGTACTGATATGAGTATAATCAGGACCAACAAAAGTACAACAAATGTGAACGTTTTTAGTGGCACAGAGTATGCATCGCTAACGGGCTTTACATAACCTTCCGACCCCGCTTTGCTTTCCTCACAGGTGGTGGTGAATGATTGTGTGTGCCATGGAACGCTATTTTCTCTGGCTGCCCGTCCACGACATCAATGGTTCGCGTTGCCCGACAGCCTCCAGTGGAATGTAAACTGCAGCGGTAGTACTTTCTCAAAAAAGGAGCCTCCCCTTTCGGAGCGATGACCTTGTTTCCATAGTTGTGCCACCTGTAGTTTGGATCGCTTGGGTTCGTGCTCCCAGCAGCATGCGTACGGCAAGCAGCTATATCCGAACCACCAGCAGCAGGGCCGGCAGCTTCCGGGCCGGAAGGAGTGGCTCGAGTGCCAGGCGTAGGACCGGGCATTGCTCCTGGACCGGAAGGCGTGGGATGGGCATTGCTGCTACAGCCGGCATTGCCCCTTGCCTGTAGGTACTCCTCCATAGCTTCAACTCGCCTTAGTCCCGTGTGAGGAGCATGCATTCTCCGAGCAATAAGTTTCGCCCTCTTGTTTCCCTTCTCGCGTATCTCCTTTATTTCTCTCTCCCCCACCTTGGAAGCTTCCGGCCCTCTCAGCTTGGAAGCTTCTTCAGGCTGCTCTGCGGCCGAAGCTGACAGCACCGCAGGGGGTGAAGCTCCTCTGGTTACTTCAGATGTCGGCAACTGAAGGCGTACGGCGCTACCAGTACGGATTCCGGATGGCCGTGGGTTGCTCAATATGGAGGATGGCATCTCGGCAGACTGGCCAGAATACTGAGTAGACTCCAGCACGCACCCTCGAGCGAATCCCGCCGGGTGGCTTCCGTTTCCTGGCTCATGCGCAACCCCGCCCTCACCCCTTCGCCTTGCCAAGGATGATCGAAGCAGCGCGGCCAACACGGCCTTGCGTCGAATACTCTCTGGAGAGGTGGGGCCCTCGCTCGCAGCTGGCATGGCCGGCACAAGAGTGACAGCTGTTTCCGCCGCAAAGACGACCCGGGCTCTCATATCGGCGGTTACAGTCGGCGCAGGATTCGGAACGGTTACCGCACGGGTTACCGCTTCAGGGAAGGCAGGAGACTCAGGTTCGTCAAGGGCGGCGTCAGTTAAAGCCTGTGCGATTCCTGAGAGAGGGGACGAAGCTCGGTCGCCGTTTTCCATGCCGCTATTGCTGCTGGCGCCGCCCTCTTCATCAGCAGCCGTGCTGCTGCTGCCAGAGCTGCTATCATTCTCGCTCGCCGTGTCCCGGAGTGAGACGATTTGGCACAGCGCCTCCGAGTCTTGCGCCATGTCGGTGGTCGATTCAGGCCTGGCGCCGTCGATCATGTTACCACTCGCGCTCGCGTGCGTTCTGCGTCGCTTCATCTGCTTCAGCAGCCCTGTGAGGGTCAGCCCTGAGCCGCCATCATCACCAGCGCCATCAATACCGACGGGAGAGCCATCTCCGCCAATACCGACGGGAGAGCCATCTCCGCCAATACCGACGGCACACGCCGGGATCGCAGCACCAGCATCCGCGTTAGAAGGAGCATTCCCGCAAGCGGCGGCACCGGCCGCGTTAGCAGCCTGCCGCACGCTGTCGCGCCACAGGCGGGGCGATTCCGATTCGACTCCCAGCCTCGCCGCAGTTGCCGGTGGCTGAGCAATCTCGCCGCCTGTCAGCGGGATCTCCGATTCGAGCGTCCGATGCCAGTGGTGAGTCGTTGCCGGATCCAGCCCAGCGAGATTCGCGGCGTGTGCCGCGCGGAGAGCTTCAAAAGAGGCGCCATGGAATTGAAGGCTCGTCGTGGCGGGCTGGAAGGCCAGTGTCGAGTCGCCAGCATCGAAAGAGTGGTTTGTCGTGTCGTTTCCCTCCAGGAAACCGTGCAAGTTGTTCTTCGTGTCGTTTCCTTCCCGGAAACCGCCGTAACCCGTGGTGATTCCGTCATGATGACTAACTTGGTGAAGCTGAAGGTGACGAGGCGAATCCGAGTCGCTCAGCGACCGTCTGAAGTTCCCGTAATTGTATGCTGCGAGCGCCAGCGGCAACAGCCCCGTTGTCGCCGCCGTCGTCGTTGAGTCGGCGTTCGCGCGGCCGCCGGCCGCGGAGATCGCGGCGGCGGAGTTGGCGGAGCACTCGTTCTGTACCGCCGCTGCGGCGTCCGCGCCGGCCTGCAGGTCGGCGAGGATTCTCGAGACGCACAGATCGCTCCGGTGGTCGTTGCAGCTAACGGCTGCGCCGAGGATCATCGCGTCGCCTTGTAACTGCTCGCCATGCGGTTTGTCAATCAACTTTATTTCACCGTACAGCGGTTCGCCAGACGAGATTTCTGACGCCGGCGCGGCGCCGCCGCCTGGGAGTTTCAAAGCGTCTTCAAAGGCGGGCGCGGAGGCAGCAGTATCGGCGGGCCACGCGTCAGCCCAGTCGCCGGTGTTGATGGCTTCGGGCGGGACCTCCCACAAGCTGTTGCTGAAGCACGGCGAGTCGAAGAAGCGATCGTGGTTACTCATCGAGTTCGATTTGTTCGAGTTGGTTGTGTCCAATCGGTTCGAGTGGGTGGGATAGGATGGGGTTCGATTGCCGTGTCTGTGAAAAACGCGGCGAGATTGGGACCGAGGAAAGCGGCGAGGTTTGACAACGAGTGAAACGCTGACCAATACTGAATATTCGAGGATTGACTATAAGGTCTCAATTTCAACGCGTCAACACTTGAGGCAGATGCAGAACTCTTGTGTGCGTGAAGAGTTCTTCGTTGAGAGTGGTCAAGTGAAACGATGCCTGACGGTGATTGGAGGAAAAGAGTGTAGGCCATCTGGCATAGCGTAGGATGGCATGGCGTGTCTGATGGTGGCCGGAAGGTCCGTGAACGTGGAGTAGACGCGAACGCCACTGCGCCACCAATGCACGCGCTGAAGAGTCTCCGCCTAACGGGGTTGCGGGCAGCACTTCCGCCAACGCGCTGAAGGCCGAGCATGGAACTGGGAGGGTGGCGAGGCGAGCGAGGTGACGGGGGGAGCGAACCGCGCCGCATGTCCTCCAAATATCGCGCCACGCAACTCTTTACCTCCGATATGTAACTGGCTTGTGGCGAAGACAAAGGATGCAGAAAGCGAGCGACAAGTTTACTGCGATCGTCATTTCGTAGCTACAGTCTGGATTCGCAATTGCGTTTGTTCGTTTCACTTCACCCAATCAACATCTAGGGGCAACAGAGAGAATGTGTTGACCAGGTCAACGACAACCAGATCGACGACTGAGACAACGGGAATGGTCCGAAACATTTTGGGGCTGGTCTGAAAAACAGTGGAGCATCTCGTGCAGATTGATGGTTGCTAGGGGGACAGTGTAACCTCTACAGCGATGTACCACGCAAGACCGTTGTAGCCTCTACGATATTTGATACCTTGACCTCCTCAACTCATCCCAACATCAATTACAGAGAACTCGGTGTGCTTGGATTGGCACACTATCTAATCAAGTAGAGCTTGAACACAACCAAGCATGAACCTTCTCACCAGACATTAACGTCGTAATCCAGTTTAGATCTCTTTTTTTCATAAAAATAATCAAACCGATCATTTATAATTTTCAGACCGTAGCTGCGAAAACCAAGTACCGTAGAAATTTTTTAACAATGATATTTCCATTTTTGTAATACATATCAGCACACATTCTTACTGACCATTTGATTATCTTTTTACCAGTAATGCTGTAGACCTCGTCTTTTGCCATTACTACATTTCCAGTTGTCAAAGGGATTGAGCTGCCTAATTGGGTTAGGCGATGTTACACGATATGGCTCGGATCCAGTACACTGCACTGTAGGAGCAGGTCCGAGGCTCGATGCAGAAGGTCGGAAGTGGTGGAGAGTGGGGTGACTGGAAAGTGCAGCTCGTCAACAACGGTAGAACACTGCCGAGCACGTACAACGGAATTTAGTTCGGTGGAAAGTGGGTTTGCTCAGGTATATCCAACAGAGGAACAGCTTCGTCGAACCACCAAACCTGAGCTTGACTGCCACGTATGCCACTCCCTCGACTTTCACTTCTCTCGTGCGCACGAAACAATTCTTCAGAGTTCAACGCGCTTGAATTTTTAGATTCGTGTCGATGCGCGATAGAAACGCGGCTCCTGCCAGCACGAGCCGCGCATGGAGCAACGGCCTAGACAAGCGCCCCGTGCCTCTGATCGTCCATCAAGCCCAAGCACAAGCAAGTCGAGAATTGTTCTCACAAGTAGTCAGGTATTGTTGTGTCCAGAAATGACTATTTCCAGACCCTTGAGAGGTATCCTTACAATCGTCGCACCCACTTTTCCTTTCATTCCTTGAACGTGTGATTCTCAACCTCATAGAGTACTTGGCATAAACTTCTCAATAGTGACGAGGGGACCACCTGTACTACAAACGGCCCACAGCTATAATGGGATGCAACGGCCTGGCGCAAAACACCCCTGTTGTTCTCTTCCTCTCTGCGCACGACCTGGTCTTTTGGAATGTCAGCCGGATCGGCAAGGCCACGGGGAAACCGTAGCCGCAGCTCTGGGTGTAAGTACTTGAGGACGACACAAGCGAGTGTGCCTATACCGGGAGTGACTGCGACGACAGCCGCTCCACCGTATTTATTTCAACAGGCTCGCTTTTCTTCGCGGAGTTACTTTCAGCAGTAGGACCCCTTTCCCGCATTTCCGTGCCGTATGTAAGTGAAAACATTCTACATTGCACTCGGTAAACGACCCAAACAATTTATTGCACAAGAAGGAAAAAAAACAATCAATAGCAAACTGTGCGAGTTTTTACTGGCACGGAGTACACAATATGTAATGGGCTTAAAAAACCCTACGTACGACCTTACGTGTCCCTCCTCGCGAGCGGTACATGTTCGTGTGTGACGATAACCTTAATTCGCGGAGGCTGCCCGTCAACATAATCGACGGTTTTCTTTGCCGGACAGCCTGCAGAACGTAGACTGCATTTGTAGTATATTCTCTTGAACGGAAATTCCTCTTCCGTATAAATGGTCTTCCTTCCATCGTCGCGCCACGTGTGGATTGCTCCACTTGGGCTTGGTGTCGTGTTTGCAGCTGCAGACGTATCAGCTGCAGACGTATCAGCTGCAGACGTATCAGCTGCAGACATATCAGCTGCAGACGTATCAGCTGCAGACGTATCAGCTGCAGACATATCAGCTGCAGACGCAGCTGGACTGGAAGCAGCAGACCCACCAGCGGTAGGAGTGGCAGGTGCTGATGTGGACGGAGTCGTTATCGTTGTAGGGGTGGTATGGGTGGTAGTGCTTGGGGTGTTAGGAGTTGAATTGGTAAGAGTTGGGGTGACAGGAGAGGCGGTGATAGGAGGTGAAGTGGTAGGAGTTAGGGTGATAGGAGTTCCGGTGATAGGAGGTGAAGTGGTAGGAGTTGGGGTGATAGGAGTTGCGGTGAGAGGAGGTGAAGTGGTAGGAGTTGGGGTGATAGGAGGTGGGGTGATAGGAGTTGGGGTGTTAGGAGCCGGGGTGATAGGAGCCGGGGTGATAGGAGCTGGGGTGATAGGAGTTGGGGTGATAGGCGTTTGGGTGATAAGAGTTGAAGTGGTAGGAGTCGGGGTGATAGGAGCTGAGGTGGTAGGAGTTGGACCGGCATTTTTCATGAACCTCGCCCTCTTATTTCCCTTCTCCCCCATCTCTCTTTCCTGTCGATTTGCAGACTTTCTCTTGTCCTCCGCTTTGAAAGCAACCAGCCCGTTTTCCTTTGAAGCTTCCTCCGGCTGCACCGTTGCCAACGCTGACTGTTCTCCAGCGGGTGAAGCGCCTACGGTCGATCCCAATGTTTGCTGTTGAAGGGGTAAGTTGTATGGCGGTTCAGCCAGGTGATTGCGGCTTATGTTCTGATTAGAGTTCAGAGGGAAAAGAGGGGCGCGGATCTGTTGACGAATGCTCAGGGTCGACGGATCTGTCGACCGATACTGGGAAGGTGAGGCACTGATACTTCCAGATCCGAAGCCACACGGCGCCGAATGTTGCGGCATGTTGGTGGTCGACGCAGGCCTGGCGTCGTCGTTGCTACCACTCGTATCACTCGCCGTGTCCCCGCGCGAAAGCATGTTACCGAGCGCCGAACTTCGCTGCATATTGGTGGTCGACGCTGGCCTGTCGCCGTCGTTGCTTTTACTCGCGCCCGCCTGGCTTTTGTGTCGCGTCATCTGCTGCAACAGTCCTATGAAGGTCGGCCCCGTGCTGCCATCACCAGCGCCAGCAGTATCACCGCCGGCGCCAACGTAAGCACCCTGATTCCCGTACTGCTGCTCTGCCGTGGCGTCAGCTTTTGCACCAGCGTCGGCATTAAATTTGCCGTCAGCGTCAGCGTCAGCATCAGCACCAGCAATATCACCGACGGCAACGCCTACGCCAGCACCCTCGTTCTCGCATTGCTGCTGCTCTGCCGTGGCGTTATCCCCCGATGCCAAGACTCCCAGACGCCGAGTCCCCGTCTGCTGAGGAGAATCGCCGCCTATCGCGGCGGGACTTGCGCCGGCGAGTTGTAACGACGTGGCCGGCGAGGCGTTAAACAAATCGAGTGCAAACATTCCCAAAGCAGCCGTATGAAGATCTTCAGGCTGACCGTTCTCCCCCGCTTCGCCGTGTATCTCGCGATGCAGTTCGTGGGGCGGAACAACTAAACCCTCTCCAACGGCGGATGCACCAGGATGGGTCCAGCCACCCGCGTCCATGGCGTAATTACTGGCTCCCCACAGGTCGCGAATAAAATCCAAAATAAGCCATGTGCTCCACATGAAGGGTAAGGAATCAGACAGCTCGGGAAATATATCCAGAGGATCGAAGTGAGCCATTTGCCGCAATTGAGTTGGGTGATGTGCTCCGTCGCAGCCAACGCTAGCAAGGAATCTGTGGGGGATTGGGATGGGAGGGATGCAAAGCACTGGCCAGGGGCATCTGGGGTCGCGGGGATGACTGGCTTCGCCGCGAAGTTGCCAAGGGCTTCACTTCAAATCCAGAGAGACTGACAAATTCGGCAGGGTTGAGATTCAGAAATTTTTTTGCTGCTGCGAGAATTTCTGGGTTTTATACAGCTCCAGGCTCTCGCGTAGCGTCTTTCTCCGTGCATCGAGCGGCAGCTGACGCAGGCTTGCATGAACATTTCAGTTCATCAGATCCATCTTTCGCCTACTGTATCTCTGTTCCGCTAGACAAGAGTTCCACCCTGCTTTTGCGGCTGCAATATTTAAGGGCAAGTA